CTTTTGGGATTTGGGAAATTGGATCTGTGCTCCAGTTCCCCGAATTAAGCCTGAATGCCTTCCACATCCCCCCCCCCCAAGGCGCTGTATAATCCTCCGGGTTTAGCGCTTCCCCCTTGATTATAATAATAATAATACGAATTCTTAAAAAGTTTCACGTTCTAAACCTGTTTTATGTGAAATTAAAAGGAAACTTGATTCTCTAAACAGAAATAATAAATTATTATCGAGTACTACGCTGAAATTTCAACAGTAAGACTCTTCGCATCTGTGAAATAAGCAACTGCTGCTACTATTGCTTCTAATGGGAAAAGCAAGCCAAATCGTAATATTTTTTTTGTCCAAGCAGAATATATGTATATTTTAGCTAAAAATTGAGGTTTGTCAGAAAATACTGAAACCGCACCGTACAGGAATTTTAATTAAATAGAAGGCATTGTGCATGTAAATTATATTGAATAAATATTGTTGTCTTCTCATATATGCTGGATTCTTTGGCTTTGGTTGAAAAAAGTACTTTTTTTGAGGTGTAGGTTTAATGCCTATGGACTACACATGGGTCGCTAAGGTGCATGTAACAGGTGCACCGTCAGTCATGGTTATTTTAACCCCCTAGGAGCTCTTGTGAGTGTATTGCTTCCCCATGCCGTATATGCCACATTTTCTGGCATATAGGGTGCGTTTTTTCTCAAAGTCTTAGAAAATCACCCTGCGCTTTATATGCTTAAGGCTACGTTTTGGATCACTTTAGCAGTTGTTGACTAACGTTACAACTGCTTCGTAACATTGTGCCAGCAAGCAGCCGACACTCGTGCGCCTTATATGCCAGAAGCTACGGTAATCACTTTCAGTAGTTCTACAGCAGCAGTATGTAAAACATTAGAAACATGCGATTCCAAAATTCTTCCTTATTGAAAACATTGTGTTCATTAGAAAGCGCTAAATCCATAGCGGTCATATAGCGCCTGTAGAATGCGGGGGGGGGGGAATCAGTTTTAATCCGAGTAATGGAAAAGTAACTCCAAATATTTGGATCACAAACTCTTGACCAGAGGTAAGGCATTCTATTCTATTTGATTTGCCGGTATGGATCCCGGATAGGGAAGTGTCATCTTTTCACGTACATGCGTGGCAGTCCTTCGGTGGGAAGGGGGGGTTCCTCTCCAGTTCTATGGACAAATGTCCCAAAAGTTAGTTTGTGCTAACGCTCTCACAGTGGTTGGCGTGGGGTACAAAGGAGGCCCAAAGCAGGTCTTCACAGCGACTTCAGCAGGGAAGCGGGTGACGTACAGTGACTGGGGGAAGTACACAAGATGTGCCGCCTCATCTTCTTGTAGATTCGTCGGTATTCTCCGGGCCCGGGCCTTTTCCAAGGGGTGACCCGGCCTTGGCTCCCTGTCGAGGGAGTGTCTGAGACCTAAGTCTCCCATGGGAGGAGGTACAAGTACCCCCTCATCGTTGGGACCAACTGTTCCCAGGCCTAGCCACATTCCCCGCCTTCACGGGGCTCGTAGGGAGAAGCTAGGCCTCTCTGGTCTGCCATCCCCGCCCCAAGGGGGCAAATGGGAATGATAGTATTGTGTGCTGCAAGCTTTGGCTCAGGCACTTACCCTGCCCTAGAAGGGTTGGGCATGGTGTCGATCCCGCCTCATCCTCCCGGGCCTGCCCCACTGGGGTAGGTAAGGCAAGCACCTCCCCCATTCCTCTCTCTCGATGGGTAAGGAAACAGCAAGCTCTTGTTCCCACTATGTAACCGCCATTTAGAACAGTGTAGCGGCACACTATTAATAAAACAATTATAAAACAGACTGATTTCTGAAATAAGTGGAAAGATATAAAAGAATTCAATCAACAAACTATTTCGCTATTCTTTATTTTTTTTTGTTTATCTACATAAATAATTTGTTTTAAATATAGTCAGCTTCAAGCTCTGCCTAGAGGATAAACCTAGTTATAATTATACCCATAATTTTTAAAGGGGTGGACGGTAAGACAGCGGAAGGCCTCGGTCAGATGACCAAAAGCTCCAGCTGCGGGTCATCATATGACTAAGACCCGCGTCAGGAAACACTTGTCCTGTTTCCTGACGAACCTTACCTAACCTAACCTAAGCTCTGCCTCGTCCTGGTGAATCATGTGAATGAAGAGATCGGAGTATTGAACTTTGCAACGTGCTAATGTACTGTACTGGGACTAGATCTGGCTCTCAAGTGTGGATACTGACAACTAGGCTTGGTGTAAATACAGTTCGAATATATGTTGAGTTGCCTGGTTTCCCTCCAACACTCATGTGATCCCTAGATTTGCTCACAGGTTGACTAAGTAGGCTTAAAAGCCTATCCATTACACGAGGGTCATTAAAACTTAATGTCACATGAATACCAGTCAAGAACAATCTGACATAAAAGTCGTCGTAAGCTTCTCTCTTCTGTGTGCGGGTTATTTGTGTGTATATATATATTATATATATTATATATATATATATATATATATATTAATATATATATATATATAATGTATATATATATATATATATATATATGTATATATATATATATATATATATATATATATATATATATTTATATATATATATATATTAATATATATTATATATATATTATTCTATCATTGTATATAGTATTCTACACAGACCAATACTTCTTACTTTCCTGTACTGCTGAAGAGCATCTCGGACGGAGATTGAAATACATGTATACACTTTTTTCACACTGTGTTTCTGTCTCCATGTAGGTTTTATCAGTTCCTTGACATATGTCCACTAAACTTTCATTGTAGCATATTAAGTATAACCGAAGTCTCCGGTCATATCGCCTCATAGAAAATGAGGTGCGGGTGTTGGGCAGTGAGGACATTGTTTATGTTGGCAGGATGAAGGTGAATATCGTCCCACAACCACCACCTGCCACTTTCCTTGCTTCTGCAGAAGGCGGTGTAGTGGCTACCGCTGCTGCCCTCCATCCCCTGCTGTTGTTGCACACATACTGACACTAGTTCGTAGCGTCTGGAGCTGAAGAAAATAAATATTTTAATTGGGGATTTAAGCAATAGATTTCTTGCAGGATTCGAGCACTAACAATTCTATTCCTAGTTTCAGGTTATTGAAATGTTGGAAGTTGAATACAAATGTCCTCAGACGGTGAAAGACAGAAGGATCAGATCCCCATAAAAGAAGGTATACGGAGTTATTCAACAGGCTTTAGACCCCTCATTGACCAACAAACCTCCCACATTTCCCGTGTTTGTACTCCAGTTTGTATACGCAACATAGGCTTGATAGAATACTTACTGATCGACTTTGCGAGCAAGAGCAGTAGGCAGACTGAAGTTGACTGCAGGGAAGGTCACTCTAGCCTGACAACCACCCTGCCTGTCAAAAGATGCCAAGGTTAATAGGATATATACATAGGAGTATATCTGTTGGTGTATACACACTGAGTGCCACAGGTGCCATTAATTGCCATAATTAGGTGACACTTTGTCAGAAGCTGTTATAAAATTACCATACTCAAAGGTCGTTAATTAGTTGCTGTAATGTATCTGTAGCGCTAGTTACTTGATTCAGCCACTTTTCCATTAGTTGCTGGACAGGCACCTTTGGTAGAATTATGCACCTGTGTTATATTTACTAGTCAGGCACCTTAATAGTTACTAGAGCCAGGTACCTTTCTAACAGTTACTAGAGCCAGGCACATTTGTAATAGTTACTAGAGCCAGACACATTTGTAATAGTTACTAGAGCCATGTACCTTTGTAATAGTTGAGACCCAGGCACATTTGTAATAGTTACTAGAGCCAGGCACCTTTTTAATAGTTACTAGACAGACACATTTGTAATAGTTACTCTCACTTTCAAGGATCACAACAGTGCCACGATCGCACGTGCAAAGAAAATGATAGGATGGATAATGAGAACTTTCAAAACGAGAGATGCCAAGCCCATGATGATCCTTTTCAAATCACTTGTTCTCTCTAGGCTGGAATACTGCTGTACATTAACATCTCCATTCAAAGCAGGTGAAATCGCAGATCTAGAGAGTGTACAGAGATCATTTACTGCACGTATAAGTTCTGTCAAGCACCTTAACTACTTGGAACGCTTGGAAGCACTTGACTTGTACTCGTTGGAACGCAGGAGGGAGAGATATATCATAATCTACACTTGGAAAATCTTGGAAGGAATGGTCCCAAATCTGCACACAGAAATCACTCCCTACGAAAGTAAAAGACTGGGCAGGCGATGCAAAATGCCCCCAATAAAAAGTAGGGGCGCCATTGGTACACTAAGGGAAAACACCATAAGTGTCCGGGGCCCAAAACTGTTTAACAGCCTCCCATCAAGCATTAGGGGAATTGCCAATAAACCCCTGGCTGCCTTCAAGAGAGAGTGGACAGATACCTAAAGTCAGTGCAGGATCAGCCGGGCTGTGGCTCGTACGTTGGGCTGCGTGCGGCCAGCAGTAACAGCCTGGTTGATCAGGCCCTGATCCATCGGGAGGCCTGGTTATGGACCGGGCCGCGGGGGCGTTGATCCCCGGAATAACCTCCAGGTAACCTCCAGGTAACCTTTGTAATAGTTACTCCCTCCAGGTAGACTACAGCCAGGTACATTTGTAATAGTTAACAACGCCAGGCACCTTATAATAGTTACAAGAGTCAGGTACTTTTGTAACAGAGCCAGGTACCTTTATAAACGTTACTAGAGCCAGGTACCTTTGTAGCAGTATATTCGCACATTTAGTCACGTGGCTGATATAGCCAGACACCTAGTAACATATACACTCACCTGGTGAGGTGGAGAGGGAGCACTTGTGGCAGGCGGAGGATGGAAGTGTAGTGAGCACACTGGTGGGGACTTCGGCAGTGTTGACAGTCCCAGTTAACCATCTGTGGCCGCAGGTGGTTCTTCATCAGCTCCTGCAGGATGTTAGAGCTTGAATGACCCGCGAGATCGTAATGACTGGCTTGCCATGGGTTTGTAACCCATGGCAAGCCAATCGTAAGAGTGAGCGTTAGCCAAGACTAGTAAGATTCGCTCAGACAGGTGTTTATGTCCATTAGCAAAATTAACATAGACCAATATTGAGAACACAATGGAGTTATTTATAGATGAATCTCACATGGGTGTGGTAAGTCCCCTCAAAGTCCCTTCAAAGCCCCTTCAAATTTCCTTCAAAGCCCCTTCAAAATTCCTTAAAAGCTGGTAACGAGACTTATTCTGGAAATCTAAATAATCTTCCTCTAGCCTCACTGGCTCCTGAAGGATGTCAAGGCAGCAGAAGCGCACACGGTGATAACTTTCTGCATGCTGGTCTCATCAGTCATGTTGTTGGTGACAAAATCATGCAGGCTAATGTATACATGTGTTTCTGTTTCGCTAACTCCTGTGCAAAGTTTGGAAAAAGCTACTCTTTCGTGTCTTCCGAAGGAAGAAAGGGAGAGAGTAAAAGAGAAAGAGACAAATAAATACCACCTTGACTTACATCCAAGGAACGCTCCCCGTCTCCCATAACGTCAAGACTTAGGTTATCAAAACATTCATTAGCGATGGAGGCTATTCTCTTCTTCTCCAGACAGAAGATGACAGACTCCTTGATACCGTGGAAGATGCTGGCGATGATGGAGGTGGTGGGCGTGTGCTGCTGGTGTGGCCAGGTCTGCTGGCCTCTGCTCACCTGAGAGCAGCCAGGAGAGGTGTCAGACAGGAGGAGAGGACACGCAAACAACAAATAAGAAAATAAGAACAGTGGAGCGCCGTAGTGGGTCTACTAGTGTATGCTAGACAGCTCCTTCGTGCCATAAACCTGTCACATGAAGAGTAGCCTACATCATGAACACAGTCATAAAAGGAGATGAAAGATTAGATAAGAGATGATAGTTCTCCTACATGCAACATGAATGACGAAGAAGCCACTGCTGTAAACTGAAAAAATAGTAGTCAATGTACTGTATATACATCTTAGTTATTAAGGCATTCTTGTGGTGAACAGGTTAGGTACAACCTTAATGACCCTAGTGCACGACATAGACCTTAAACCCCACTAAACTACCAATCAACCACCAAGGTAGACGAGGCTAAAAATTTTACTGTGGATGAAATGAAGACCAAGTGGGTATGGCTGATAATTGAGAAATGGTCTGGTGATACCGACAAGATGTGGAAAAAGACACTTACGTACAGTTCAGGACATTTATTAAAGGAAACGTTTCGCCACGAGTGACTTCTTCAATCCTAATACAGTGATAACCAAGAAACGAGTTTATATAGTGACAGGAGTCAGGTGGAAAGCCGCGAGGGTAGCAGAAGTAGTGGTGGTGATGGTGGTGGTGGGTGGTGGTGGTGGTGGTGGTGGTGGGTGGTGGTGGTGGTGGTGGTGGTGGTAGCAGTATATATGGTTGATAATTACACTCACACTCACCACCAGTGGTGGTGGTGGTGATGATGGTGGTGGTGGTGGTGGTGGTGGTGGTGGTGGTGGTGGTGATAGCAGTATATATGGTTGATAATTACACTCACACTCACCACCATGTGGTGGTGGTGGTGGTGGTGGTGGTGGTGGTGGTGGTGGTGAGGTGGTGGATGGTGGTGGTGGTGGGTGGTGGTGGTGGTGGTGATAGCAGTATATATGGTTGATAATTACACTCACACTCACCACCAGTGGTGGTGGTGGTGGTGGTGGTGGTGGTGGTGGTGGTGGTGCCGCCGCCGCAGCCATTTAAGGTAATTTTTCTTCTCTACAAGAATTGCAAAACAAATACAATGAACAGAAGATTTCAAAAGTTCATATAACAGACTTATTTTACACGTAAATAGCTGAGGAGAGATGAATGTGTATCCCCTACACACACACACACACACACACACACACACACACACACACACACCAGCGAAGAGGTGGGGCTAGGAGCTGTGAATCGACCCCTGCAACCACAAATAGGTGAGTACACACACACACACACACCAGCGAAGAGTAGGGGCTAGGAGCTACGAATCGACCTATGCAACGACAAACAGTTGAGTACACCCACACACTCACCTGTGAAAGGTCATTATGAAGCCAGGTGAGGAGGGATGCGAGTAGGTCGTGAGCCCTGGGTTCACTGTGCAGCTTGAAGGTCTTGTCCTCACCTTCCACCACGTCCTGTACACAAACACACATTAATAAAAAAATATAAACATTAATAATAATGCTCAAGGTATGGAATATACCACTTAGCGTCAACGGTGTACCTGGGTATCTGAATGTATGGCGAAAGTACTGTGTACTTTCAATCCTGTTGTGGACTGAAAGGTAATGTTTGTAAATAATTTCGTCCTTTTGCGAAATGTTCAGTATTTATATATAATAGGTTGACCTGGAGGGTGTATAAATCTGTAGTGGAGGGGAGGAGGGGTAGGGGTCCTAGAAAAGGATGGAGGGAGCAGGTGAAGGAAGTTTTGTGTGCAAGGGGCTTGGACATGCAGCAGGCATGTGTGAGCTTGTTAGAAAGGAGTGAAGACGAATGGTTTCTGGGACATGATGAGCTGTTGGAGTGTGAGCAAAGTAATATTTTGTGAATGGATTCAGGGAACCTGGTTAGCGGACTTGAGTCCTGGAGGTGGGAAGTACAATGCATCCTATAAATTGTGTCATAATTATGCTGTTTAAGGTAAAACTATCAATGAGTTGAGTGTTACGACAGTGTCTGTCACTTGCTCGGGGCGCTGCTGTGTATAAATCAACCTTTTTGATCGTTACATATTCTTATATTCTAATTGCCAAAGTTATCCTCATGTACGTGTAGGGAATGGTTCCAGTGTTATTGCTAGATTGCAGCTCTGCGGTCACCACAAACTATAATATTTTTAAAATTGACGTTAAGTTAGGTTAGTTTACGTTAGGCTAAGGCAGATTGGAACTGATTAGAGGTTAGGTCAAGTTAGGTGAGAGTAACTACAAAATTGACGTTAAGTTAGGTTAGTTTACGTTAGGCTAAGGCAGACTGGAACTGATTAGAGGTTAGGTCAAGTTAGGTGAGAGTAACTACAAAATTGCTTCAGAAATGTAGCACCACCTTGAAGCCCTTCACGGCATCGTAGACACCAGTGCCAGACTCCATGGCACGGAAGACATGAGAAAGAGCCAGTGCCAGCCTTCCTCCCTGCTCGCTGCTGGTGTTGAGGTCTCGTCTGCCACAGAGAGAGGCACACAATCAGAGGCTGGAGAAACTAATCGTAACATCAGTCTTAAAGAAGAGCATTCCATCCCATGAGTGATGATCGTGAAAATTTCAACGTTCCCTGGTTTTGATGTAAGTTCATATATCCTACCCCCAGCATCAAAGTTAAGTTAGTAAAATAAGAGTAAGTCTGAGACAGTGTTAGGTTAGGCTTTAGGATTAAAACGTCTAGATTGCACAACTAGGCTGCACCTCACCTCTGCACTGACATAAACATATTTAATTACTACTATAACGATTAAAGTAAACTTCTTGCATATACACTGAGAGATATACATCCCCCGGTGTATATACCCCAAAGACACACACCTCTTGGTGCATATACAATTAGAGATATACACCTCCCTATGTGTATACACTGAGATATTGTTAGGAAACAGGACAAGTGTTTCCTGACGCCGGTCTTAGTCATATGATGACCCGCAGCTGGAGCTTTTGGTCATCTGACCGAGGCCTTCCACTGGCTTACTGGTCCTACCCTTTAAAAATTATGGTTATTAGTGAGAGGTTTGCTAGCTAACTATACCACGGGTGGGGGTTAGAACCCGCGATCAGAGTTTCAAGACTCCAGACGGGCGCGTTAGCTACTGGAGTTTTGAGACTCTCTGATCGCGGGTTCTAACCCCACCCGTGGTATGGTTTGTTTACAATCGTGTCATTACGATTTCGTGAGTCTTGCTAGCTAATACTGATAAACATATATACTGCGTACTCACTTATAGTATCCCTGGAAGAAGTATTGTCTCAGTGTACTTATACTGAAGAGACACTGTATAACGGAGTTGATATAGCAGGTGTTGCCCAGGTTGGGAAGACCGAGGGCACACACAGTCTGAAATACAGATAAATTTGCGTGAGAAAATGAAATTTGTATTGTACACCATTCTCCTGCCACCGTATGTGGCTCCCACGGGGTTACTGCTAATTTGTGTGTGTGTGTGTGTGTGTGTGTGTGTGTGTGTGTGTGTGTGTGTGTACTCACCTAATTGTGGTTGCAGGGGTCGAGACTCAGCTCCTGGCCCCGCCTCTTCACTGACCGCTACTGGGTCCTCCTACTCCCTGCTCCATGAGCTTCATCATACCTCGTCTTCAAACTATGTATGGTTCCTGCCTCCACTACATCGCTTGCCAGACTAGTCCACTTCCTAACAACTCTGTGGATGAAGGAATACTTCCTAACATCCCTCTGACTTGTCTGAGTCTTCAGCTTCCAATTGTGACCCCTTGTTTCTGTGTCCCATCTCTAGAACATCCTGTCTCTGTCCATCTTGTCTATTCCATGCAGGATTTTGTATGTCGTTATCATGTCTCCCCTGACCTTCCTGTCCTCCAGTGTCGTCAGACCGATTTCCCTTAACCTTTCTTCGTAGGACATTATCCTTAGCTCTGGAACTAGCCTTGTTGCAAACCTTTGCACTTTCTCTAATTTCTTGACGTGTTTGACCAGGTGTGGGTTCCAAACTGGTGCTGCATACTCCAGTATGGGCCTGACGTACACAGTGTATAAAGTCTTGAACGATTCCTTACTGAGGTACCGGAACGCTATTCTCAGGTTTGTCAGGCGCCCATACGCCGCAGCAGTTATTTGGTTAATGTGTGCTTCTGGCGACGTACTCGGTATTACACTCACTCCTAGATCTTTCTCCTTGACTATACTCTGTCTGCGGTCTTCTTTGCCCTTCTCCGATCTTCATGACTTTGCATTTGGCGGGGTTAAATTCTAGGAGCGAGTTGCTGGACCACGCATCCAGCCTGTCCAGGTCTCTTTGTAGCTCTGTCTGGTCCGCATCTGATTTAATTCTCCTCATTAACTTCACATCATCTGCAAACAGGGACACTTCTGAGTCTATCCTCTTCGTCATGTTCACATATACCAAGAATAGCACTGGTCCCAGGACTGACCCTTGTGGGACCCCGCTCGTCACAGGCGCCCACTGTGATACCTCATCACGGACCATGACTCGCTGTTGCCTCCCTGTTAGGTATTCTCTGATCCATTGCAGTGCCCTTCCTGTTATGCGTGCCTGTTCCTCTAGCTTCTGTACCAATCTCTTGTGAGGAACTGTGTCGAAGGCCTTCTTGCAACCCAAGAAAATGCAATCAACCCACCCCTCCCTCTCATTTCTTACTTCAGTTACCTTGTCATAAAACACTAGTAGGTTTGTGAAACAGGATTTGCCTTCCATGAATCCGTGCTGGCTGTCGTTTATAATCTTGTTCCGCTCCAGGTGCTCCACCACTCTCCTCCTGTGTGTGTGTATGTGTGTGTGTGTGTGTGTGTGTGTGTGTACTCACCTATTTGTACTCACCTATTTGTGGTTGCAGGGGTCGAGTCCTAGCTCCTGGCCCCGCCTCTTCACCGGTTGCTACTAGGCCCTCTCTCTCCCCGCTCCATGAGCTTTATCAAACCTCGTCTTAAAACTGTGCATGGTTCCTGCCTCCACTACGTCATTTTCTAGGCTATTCCACTGCCTTACAACTCTATGACTGAAGAAATACTTCCTACTATCTCTCTGACTCATTTGTGTCTTCAACTTCCAATTGTGGCCTCTTGTTTCTGTGTCCCCTCCCTGGAACATCCTGTCTTTGTCCACCTTGTCTATTCCACGCAGTATTTTATATGTCGTTATCATGTCTCCCCTGACCCTCCTGTCCTCCAGTGTGGTCAGGCCGATTTCCCTTAATCTTTCCTCATAGGACATTCCCCTTAGCTCCGGAACTAACCTTGTCGCAAACCTTTGTACTTTCTCTAGTTTCTTGACGTGCTTTATCAAGTGCGGGTTCCAAACAGGTGCTGCATACTCCAGTATGGGCCTGACATACACGGTGTACAGTGTCTTGAATGATTCCTTACTAAGGTATCGGAATGCTGTTCTCAGGTTTGCCAGGCGCCCATATGCTGCAGCAGTTATCTGATTGATGTGTGCTTCCGGAGACATGCTCGGTGTTATACTCACCCCAAGATCTTTCTCCTTGAGTGAGGTTTGCAGTCTTTGGCCACCTAGCCTATACTCTGTCTGTGGTCTTCTGTGCCCCTCCCCCATCTTCATGACTTTGCATTTGGCAGGATTAAATTCGAGAAGCCATTTGCTGGACCAGGTGTCCAGTCTGTCCAGGTCTCTTTGAAGTCCTGCCTGGTCCTCATCAGATTTAATTCTCCTCATTAACTTCACATCATCTGCAAACAGGGACACTTCTGAGTCTAACCCTTCCGTCATGTCGTTCACATATACCAAAAATAGCACTGGTCCTAGGACCGACCCCTGTGGGACCCCGCTCGTCACAGGTGCCCACTGTGATACATCATTACGTACCATGACTCGTTGTTGCCTCCCTGTCAGGTATTCTCTGATCCATTGCAGTGTGTGTGTGTGTGTGTGTGTGTGTGTGTGTGTGTGTGTGTGTGTGTGTGTGTGTTTCGGACAGATCACGATAAGAGATGGTTATCCCCAAGTGATTAGTAACTACAATTCTGTTGGAAGGGAACCAGTGAAGCTGCCGTAACTACTGAAGTCAGAGTGGAATACTTGACGATATCCTCATCACCTTACTGAAGTCTCTCATTACATGATGTAACTCTGCGTGTGAATTACTATGACAGGGTAACATAACTAGCTTTTGTTCCCACTTTATAACTACTGTATAGTGGGATACAGTGTTATTGCAGATAAGAATGAGGAAAAGACACACTTTCCTGAACAACCTTATATTGGGACAACGTGTCGCTCTGCGTAGAGTTTTGTAAAGACCTGATACAACTCTACATGGAGCGAAACTTTCCCAGACACCCCACACCCCGTAAGACAAATTGGGCACTACCAACACTAATCTATACCCGACTTAACCCATCCTCCCTAACCCATGCTGGGCATAACCACCTGAACGCCACCCTCCTAAATGAACAGAGATCACGACAATAACCTGTTTAGACTGAAAATGCCATCAGTGATCAAAGTTTGTTCTTTGGGTAGCATTGAAAATGGGTTGGGCAAATATTTTTGTGAGTGGGTTTAAGAAAGATCTGCCTAGCATGGACCAGTAGGCCTGCTGCAGCGTTCCTCCTTTCTTATGTTCTTATTCAAGCAAATTAGAGAAATACCAAGAGTTGTGAACGTTCAACTGTGAGTATTGTTAATTTTATTAATAATGGGGAAGAGCTTAATATGCATATATCATATAGATCCTGGGAAAATGGGAAGCAACCAGTACCACTCAAGGAGATAAAAGGTATAAAATACCGATACCCAGATTTACCTGGGTAAAGAGTGCATGAATATATATATACCTGCCCGTCCCTTGCAGGTCCGTCTCAAATCCAACCTACCCAACATTCTCCCCCTGATTCAACCCTATATACACTTACGTACTCTTTACCCAGGTAGACCTGTTTGTGACCTGATAAAGCCCACTGTGTGGGCGAAACGTTGTCAATAAAGGATCACATTATACTGCGTCTATGTTTATTTTTGCGTCATCCAAGGAGTACGAGAGTAACTGCAAAGTTTTCTTTTATAATTCAAACCTCTTCACTAGGATCAACCCGATTACTTGGGTTGAAAGTGACGATGTTTTCTTGAGTTTTTAAATGTGATCCTCCAGCAAGTGCAAAGAAAATTATTGGAACCCATAAATTAGTTTCGTGTGGGTATTCTGAAGAGGATCCTTGACCTGTAGGATCCCTTAACTGCAGGATGCTCTACCTGGAGGATACTTTAACTAAAGGATATTTTAACTGAAGGATGCCTTTCCTGGAGGATAAATCAACTGAAGAATACCTTTCATAGATGATACTTTAACTGAAGGATACCTTATCTGGGGGGATTCCTTATCTGGAGGATACGTAACCCGGAGTATAAATTACCTGGAGAAGCGGCACTGAAGGTACCACGTGAGATTGGCACCTGTTCAGCTCCGTGTCTCTCCGAGTCACCTGTGTCGTCGTGGATATGGTCTGCTGTGTCTTGGCCAGCTGCTGACGAAGTTGGTGCTTGGGTTCCTGCTGCAGGTTTTCCTGCCGCACTTGTTCCTGTCGCAGTTGCTCCTGTCGCAGCCGCTCCTTGCGCAACTGCTCCAGGCGTTGCTGTTCTTGCCGCAGCTGCTCCTTGCGTAATTTCTCCTGGCGAAGCTGCTCCTGTTGTAGTTGTTCCTGCCGCAGCTTTTGCTCTTGCCGAAGTTTCTCCTTCTGCAGCTGCTCCTTTCGCAGCTGTTCTTGCAGCAGCTTCTCTTCTTTCAGCAATTCCTGTCGCCGCTGTTCCTGCCACAGCTGCTCTTCCAGCTGCTCCACCTGCTCCTGCACCCTCGTCTGTGGATTAAAACTGATGAGTAAAACAATGTTTGTGTGTGTATGTGTGTTTTCCAGTCCTCATCAGCTCTCCAGTGCAGAACTACGAGACACAACATGCAAGACCTGTAGACAACGTTGAGTTCAGAGTGATACTGACCTCAGCTGACCTGAGGAACACTGACCTCAACTGAGTTCAGAGTGATACTGACCTCAGCTGACCTGAGGAACTATGACCTCTGCTGAGCTCAGTGATACTGACCTCAGCTGACCTGAGGAACACTGACCTCAGCTGAGTTCAGAGTGATTCTGACCTCAGCTGACCTAAGGAACACTGACCTCAGCTGACCTGAGGAACACTGACCTCAGCTGAACTTAGCACTGACCAAACAAATGCGTTCCTGAATTAAACTTAAGCACAACTTAACCAGGTTTATTCAGTAAGTTTAACCAAGATTATCCATCAAGTTTAATCAGGATTATTCTTTAAATTCGTAAAGTTATTTTGTGTCTGCGAAGAGAATCTCAGAAGGGGGACGAAATATACAGATCAATTTATGCCCTGAGTTTCTGTCTCCACAAGAGTTATTATTGAGCATTGAGAAGTGTTCATTATACCTTAGTTATTCATATTTCAAGTTATTCAGAGAGTCTGTATGAGGTGACTCACCTGAGAAAGAGGTGAAGGAGGTGCTAACTGAGGAAGAGGTGATGGGGGTACCACTTGAGAAAGAGGTGATGGGGGTGCCACCTGAGGAAGAGGTGATGGGGGTACCACCTGAGGAAGAGGTGATGGGGGTGCCACTTGAACCTGGCACCTTTGACACCTGGTCACCTCTCTCGCCTTCTCCTGCAGTTGTGTCTTCAACGAAGAGACCTCCAGCTCCTTCTTCGCCAGCTGCTCGCGATTCAGCAGCTGCTCCTGCCGCAGCTGTTTCACCTGCTGCTCCAGCTGCTCCACCTGCTGTTCCAGCTGCTTCACCTGCTGCTCCAGCTGCTCCCTGGCCCTGATCTACGGATCGTAACATCCCACTTAACGGTACACATTGCGTCACGTGCAGAAAAAAAAAAAAAAAATTTTTATGAATTGCGAAGTTGTGTAGGGCCACATAACACACACACACACACACACACAACTGCACATCTCTTGAGGTGCACATCAACCAAATAACTGCTGCAGCATATGGGCAACTAGCAAACCTAAGGATACCATTCCTACATCTCAGTAACGAGTCGTTCCGGACCCTGTACAGTGTACACCGTGTACGTCAGGCCTATACTGGAGTCTGCAGCTCCAGTTTGGAACTCACACCTGGCCAAGCACGTCAGGAAACTAGAGGAAGTGCAAAGGTTTGCAACGAGACTAGTCCCGAAGCTAAGGGGAATGTCATACGAGGAAAGGTTAAGGGAACTCGACCTGGCGATTTTTGGAGAACAGGGGGAACATGATAACGACATATAAAATATTGAGTGGGTTCGACAAGGTGGGCAGAGATATGATGTTCCAGAAATGGGGCACAGAAACAAAGGGTCACAATTTGAAATTGAAGACTCAGATGAGTCACAGGGATGTTAGGAAGTATTTCTTCAGTCACAGAGTTGTCAGAAAGTGGAATAGTCTGGAAAGTGAGATAGTGGAGGCTTTAGGAAGAGGAATGATAAAGCTCATAGAGCAGGAAGAGAGTGACTAGTGGCGACCAGTGAAGAGGTGGAGCCAGGAGCTATGATTCGACCCCTGCAAACACAATTAGGTGAGTACACACACACATCTGTGCACATTGGACGACACTCAAACACTTCCACACAAACTGGGGTTCACACTCAACTAACAGCTCACAGGATGAGCTGATGGGTTTGCTATCCAAGTTGTGGGTTCAAGAATGAGACACTTGTGCCCAAGTGTCTCATTCTTCAACTTGTCGGCTTTCTAAGCCATTTATATAACAAGTTGTGGGTTAGTCGGGAATCATATTTTTTTCTCTCCAGAATGTTATCAGAGTTTGAACAGCAACACGCTAATAACCGAGTCAACATTTCTTTTCTGCGTGTAGTGACAGGGATGCCTTACCTGGCTGAGAGGCACCGAGGGTGCCACCTGGGCTTGGCTCCTGGTCAGCTCTTTGTCTTTCTGCTGGAGTTGTGTTTTCAAGGAGGAGATTTCTCGCTCCTTCTCGTTCAGCTGCTGACGTTGGTGACGCTGTTCCTGTCGCAGCTGTTTCTCCAGTTGCTGCTGCTGCTTCTGATACTCCGCCTTTTGCTGCTGCTGTTTCTTTATCTGCTGTTGCAGCCTTTCCAGGTCCTTCTGCTGCTCTTCCACCTGCTGCTGCTGTTTCTTTAGCTGCTGGTGCTGTCTCTTCAGCTGCTGCTGCAGCTTCTGATGCTCCTGCTGATGCTCTTCCTTCTGCTGTTTCTGTTCCTCCACCTGCTGCTGCTGTTTCTTAAGCTGCTGTTGCTGCCTCTCCAACTGCTGCTGCTCCTCCTGCTGCCTCGCCTACGGGTTACACCAGGCTATTAGCGATTATTTACATTATAATTTTTTTTTTCAACAAGTCGGTCGTCTCCCACCGAGGCAGGGTGACCCAAAAAAGAAAGAAAATCCCCAAAAAGAAAATACTTTCATCATCATTCAACACTTTCACCACACTCACACATTATCACTGCTTTTGCAGAGGTGCTCAGAATACAACAGTTTAGAAGCATATACGTATAAAGATACACAACATTATAAATGTCTTCTCTAAATCTGGGTTTGATTAGTACCTGAGGTATTGAAGCTAATTCTTGGGAAGCTCTGGGTAAAGGTCGGACAAGTGGGTGGATGGGAATAGTTGGTTTAGAGAAAAACGAGCCTAATTTAGACCAGTAGGCCTGTTGCTATGCTCCTCCATTTTATGTTCTTATACAACGCCTGGGGAATGGACGGTAGACAGTTTGACCCGAAATAGAGGAGAGTAGCTCCAATTCCTTAGGCCAAGAGCCCCTCACCAGCACCAAATCACTTCCCATAAAGGGTTCATCTCTCAAAAATCCATACTTATGGGGCCAATTTGCGAGTTTTATTCACTAAAATCTTAAATATCTCCATCACTGAGTATAGCAGCGATGGCTGAGACAAGTCCGTAAGTAACTAACCTGATACCAATATGACTGACGTAGTTGTAACAACACGATTGTCAAATTACGGAACGGGTGTGAATTTTAGAAATCACTTGCCATGGGTTCAAATCCCCTCCCTTTCCGTGGTTTGATACCAATAGCCTTAGGCTAGTAGTGAGAGTCGTGGCTCTGATAACACAAGTCCGGTCAGTGAAACCGGCCGGAAAAGAATGATTAAAAAAATGGTATGACTGACCTGGTCCTGAAGCATGATCAAGGCACTTTCTTTTTCTTGCAGTTGGCTCCTGAGGAAGGAGTTCTCGCGCTCTTTTTCTGCTACCTGCTGCTGACGGAGCTGCTGCTCCTGCCGCAGCTGTTCCTTCAGCTCCTGAACCTGCTTCTGCTCCCTTCCCTACGGGGCATGACAGTATTTTAGCATTTTCAGTTTTGCGTACGGCCGCTAGACGACACATGACCCAAATCAAAGTAAAACTGATTGAAATAGACTGGAATGCATTCACTTGGGACACCTCTATTGATGACGATAGGGTCCTTGGACCTTTATCACTTGAAGTGATCGAGGTTCAAGGACTGAAAGGTCACTAGTCAATGTGTCCGAAGTGAATGAATTTGCGTTAATTCCCCTCAAGTCGGCAGTCATTTGTCTTCGTACCACCAAAACAAAAATATCCCGAATCACTTCTGAACTTTCTGTAACATCTCAATTGTAACACAGACTCGGGCTCCTGGTCCTCGTTCTTCCCCTCACCTCTTGCTTTCCTGTAGGGAGTTGACTTTTAAGATGATCTAGCTCCTCCGTCAAGGTCTCTATCCTAGCCTTCTGGTTGATGATAATGGTCTCCCTGGTGACCTTCTCCTGCTTCCACCTCCGTGACTCCTCCTCCGACTTCTCCGTGAGCGCCTTGCACCTCGCCTCCTGTTCCTCCTTCCTGTCTGTGAGCTCCTTCACCTGCTCCTTCAGGTCTGCCTGCAGGCACGGGATACGCACACGTAATATTGTAAATTAAATATTCTATTATTCTTCTTAATAGCAATAATATTATTAGTAGCAATAAAATTAGCAGTAGTAATATTACAACTACTACTACTACTACTACGATTATACTACTACTGCTGCTACTACTACTACAACTACTACTACTGCTAGTCCTTCTACTCATGTTACTATTAAGTCCTCAAGACACAGTACACAAGGGATATTCCAAAAAATGTCCACACAGAGAGAATGACTGATGGCTGGTAATGAGGAAACAGTGTGTGCCAAAAGAAATGTTATCAACTATACAAATTTGAGCCCTTAAATTAAAATTTTTTTAACCATAAATTAGACACCTGGGCAACATCTGGGTATCTTTATTTGTAGACGTTTAGCCATCCAGTGGCTTTATCAATACAAATTCAAGGACATACCGGGAAAACTGAGAACTACGTAAAGAAGACGAGGTAACCAGTCCCTCAGTCTTGGAGTTGGTGAAGAGGACCGTAGTCCTCCAACTCCAAGGCTGAGGGACTGACTGACCCGTTTTTTGTATCTAGTTCTACAGTCTTTAAATTATATTCTTTAATTAGTATTGATAAAGCCACTGGATGGCGAAACGTCTACAAAGACACCCAGATGTTGCCCAGGTGTCTAAGTCCTCAGGTAATGACTGTCAGACGCGGCTCACCTGAGTTTTAATAAGATTTTCCTCAATTTCGTCCTTCAGTTTGGTTATTCGCTTGACCTCCTTCCGCAGGGTCAAGATAGTGCTTCTCTCTTCTTCTTTTTCCTCCTCCTCTCTATCGGTCTTTTCCTCCTTCCTTAGGGTTGTTAAGTTCCTTTCTCCTGGATCACTTGAAGAACCGTTCTGGGAAATTGTGAGAAAGGTTGGCGTTGAGAGAGAGAGAGAGAGAGAGAGAGAGAGAGAGAGAGAGAGAGAGAGAGAGAGAGAGAGAGAGAGAGAGAGAGAGAGAGAGAGAGAGAGAGAGAGAGAGAGAAAGAGAGAGAGAGAGAGAGACTTGTCGGTGTATCCACAATAAGACATACTGTACATCTCTTAGGGCATATACACTGAAATATACATACCTCTCAGTGTATATACATTGAGATATACACACCTCTCAGTGAATATACACTGAGATATACACATTTTTTGGTGTATATACCATTCGCTTAGGAACAGCAACAACACTGCAAATCTCACGCGTGATGTACAACACGGTGACATATGAGTACCCGCTGCCTGGGTCGGGTCGACACACACCCTGCTCTGCTGTGAGAGGTCGGGGGATCAAACTTTCATTACTTCACCCCACTGTCTAACAGTGGAGAGGCAAAGACAGTGCCTACCTGTAGGGAAGTAGCCAGGCACTCCTGTGCCTCTTCCTCCTCCTCTTCCTCTTCCTCCTGACTGTCGGGGGAAAGAAAGCCGTCTTCCGAAAGACTGACACACGTTGCTCTGTGTATGACTGGCACCTCGTTATCACACCTACCCTGGGAAATAATAATAATATATTATTTTTTCAACATACCGGCAGTCTCCTACCCAGACAGGGTGACCTAAAAAGAAAAACGAGTTTTTCTTCTTTTTACATTTAGTAATTTATACAGGTGAAGGGGTTACTAGCCCCTTGCTCCCGGTATTTTAGTCGCCTCTTACGATACGCATGGCTTACGAAGGAAGAATTCTTTTCCATTTTTCCACGGAGATTACTATTACTATTATTATTATTATTATTATTATTATTATTATTATTATTATTATTATTATTATTATTATTATTAGTAGTAGTAGTAGTAGTAGTAGTAGTAGGAGTAGTAGTAGTATAGATTTCAGTGTTACAAAGAGTTGGAAGGATACAAACCTTTAAAGTACTACTTTAAACAACTGTAGCTACACACTTTACTGTACATCCTAAAGCACTAAACTTGTACCTGCCATTCGGTTTACGCACAGGAGTGGAAGCTCGATCCTCCGTCCACAAACAGCGGGGCCCGGCCTCTGATCAGTCAAATTATTGCTACACTAGAATTTCCCTGTAAGTGGCTGCTGGAGTTCAACCCTAAAACATAGGAGGTAGAGGTGGGAACTAGGTACGCAGAGTTAGGTACCTGTGTGGCGTTGGCATCCAGGCTGGGTGAGCTTGTAGGGGAGTCAACCATCAGGTAGACAGGTAGGGCTGTGTGTAGTGCCTCCTACAGGTGCAACCAAGATTGGTTAATTAATGGGGTTTGAAGTCTGTCGGCCACACGAGGGTCATAAAGGCTGTAGGTAATAAAAATTGATTATAATCATAACCATAATTTTTAAAAGGGTGGAGGGGTAAGCCAGGGAAAGGCCTCGGTCAGGTGACCAAAACCTCCAGCTGCGGGTCATTATATGACTAAGACCCGCGTCAGGAAACACTTCTCCTGCTTCCTGATAAACCTTACCTAAGGTGAAGGCAGCAGGTCACCTGGCCAGCAACAGTCAAGAATACTTTAAGATCCTTAAAGTAGGAATTAAATAAACTCTGTACTATACACATCTCACAATGTGGGTAATCTCTGCAGCCTAGACAGTATTGCAGTAGGTTCGCCGTCTTGTCCCCGCCCGGGTCTTTTCCAGGTGGTGACCCGGCGCAGCCTAGATGAACACCATATTTGCTGTACAATGATAGCCTGGTGTTAATATATCTAATGTGATGAATTTGCTACGTGTTATTAAAAAAAATTAGCTGTGTCATTAAAACGGAAGAAAATAATAAAAGCTAAATATTATTTAAAAAAAAAACTAAGAGGAAAGGTTAAAAGATGATATTTCACACATAAAGGAAATGACTCAAAATTAAAAAGGGGTATTATGTAGGGTGAACTTAATTAAATGTTTGGCTAGATTTTTATTGAATCACTTGTGAAGGAGCGGCCAAAAATGAAGTAAAACAAATAAAACTCAAAAATAATGTTTTTTTTTATATTATCATTTAAACTAGTTCACACACCAGTGTTGAACAGATTAATGCAAGTCAGAACAGGTATTTTCATGCTATAACTGTAAAACTACTGAAGAAAATTTTAATGCAACCATCACAGGCATCCCATTACGGAGGATTCCTAACAGTTTCCCTTTAAATTTCTTCTTCTACTTGGTTGCTTCACATGACTTGTAGACCTGACTTAAATAATGTGACTTAGTTCAGGTGTCTTTTTTTATGTATTCTGAAGGCTTTGATAACAATAATGATGAAATCTGTTTACCTGTTGATGATGACGTTGTGTGAGTGACTCGTCTGAATGATGATCCGTCTTGTCTGGTATGTGGTGATTCTTATTTGTGTGTGATAGCTCCTGCTGGAGCTGTGTTGACGGGTGCTGCTGCTGCCTCACCGCCAGCTGGGTCTTGTGTACTCCCGTGACGTGAAGAGGTTCGTCCCTTACCCGTGTGCTGTGTGGATTCTCTGCGTTTAAGTACAGTCGTTCTTGCGAGCTCTGTTTGGCGAAGGAGGCAAGACGATCACTACTACTAGGGTCCTGTTCTTCCATGCTGTCAAAGTGGCCATCTTGCTCGTTCTGTCTCGAGAGAGAGGTGTGAATGTCAGTAAGATGCTTCTCTCTTCTCTCGTAGGGACGTTCCTCTTCGCTGGAGATGAACGCTAAATATTTCGCGCTTTCGGTGCTGAACTGGAAATCCTCCTGTGGTCTCTTGTGCTTCGATATGACAGGCATGTCTCCGGAATTAGATCTCTGCTGCTCTGTGTTGCTGTACAGCTGCTGGCGCTGGCGTTCCTTCAGCGAGATGGGCACAGCAAGTTTCTCGGAGCTCTGGGGAGCGCTTAGCTCGCCCATGCTGCTGGAAAGCTGCTTCTTCGTCAGGAGCTGTTTGGAGGTGCCCCAGGCGGGCGACCTGCCGCCAGAGTGACTCTGGCTCAAGTTCTCCTCGCTTCGGTACTGTTGATTCCTGTACCGCGAGTACTTGGGCGGCTTCCAGGTGATGCGGGACTGGTCGAGGTTCCCCACGCTGCCGTACAGCTGCTCCTGCCGGAGAGCACATTATTATTTATTATTATTATACGTGTAAGGCTAAAGTGGCGTGAGTCATTCGACGCAAGGAAGAGGCTCAAGCCTCCTTCAGCTAAACTTAAAATAGATGCACTGCTGTGGCAGCCCAGCGTACCTCAGCGGGAGGTAGAGGCCAATGTGTCAATGAACAAGTTCTTCCTTTTACAGTCAGTGATCTCCGATCTCCGTTTCACACACACACACACACACACACCCAAAACACATACGCGAACATAACCAAACACATACACACAAACACACACACAAAACACACACACACACACACACACACACACACACACACAAAATATCATTCTCATACTCCACTTCACCTCCAGGATGTAAAGAAATTCTTCATTGAGTTATCATTAGATTTTTAGACTAATAGTTCATCTGATTTTTCAATAACAGCCTTGTGATAACTGTTATCACACACACACACACACACACACACACACACACACACACACACACACACGACACACTACTCAACCCCGCAACACACATATAGTGTGAGTCACCACAAATAGGTGAGTACAGAGACGGCAGGATCCATACATATCTTTAAGAAGAGATACGATAAAGCTCATTGGAATTTAAACAAACTATGTCATCTTAAACACTGAAGGCGAGACACCTAGAGCATAACTCTGTCCCAGTAACACACACACACAATATACACACACATATACATACACAGGCACATACATATACATACACGCACAGATACATAGACACATTAAGGATAATAACTGCAAGAGACCAACTGATAACACTAGAAAAACAGAAGCGAAAGCTTTTACATTACTTTTTATAATCAAGAGAGCTAAACCCTTAAGGTCATACAGTGTATATGAATAGGGAGTAATCAGGTTTGATCCAATTAAGAGGATATTTACTTCCTTGAATGAAGAGCCATCCACTGGCATCAAGGACCCACTCACCAGCATCAAGAACTCACTCATCGGCATCAAGGACCCACTCACCAGCATCAAGAACTCACTCATCGGCATCAAGGATCCACTCACTTGAATCATGGACCCACTTTTACCGGCAGCAAGGACCTACTCAGCGGCATCGAGGATCCACTTACCGGCATCAAGGACACTCACCAGCATCAAGAACCCACTCCCCCGACATCGAGGATCCGCCCACTGGCATCGAGGATCCAGTCCTGGTATCAAGGACCCACTTTACCTGCATCAAGGACCTACTCAGCGGCATCGAAGATCCCCTCACCGGCATCAAGGACCCACTCCCCCGACACCAGGGACACACTTTAATGGCATCAAGGATCCACTCCCCCGACACCGAGGACACACTTTAATGGCATCAAGGACCCACTCCCCCGACATCGAGGACACACTAACCGGCATCAAGGAGTCACTGGCATCAAGTGAGGAGAGTTGAAAGAAGTCTGTCAGGAATGTACCTGAAGGGCTGTGAACGTTCTCACTGCAGCAGTGGGAACTAGCAGTTCACGAACAGCAGAACCCTGGAATTATTCAAGGAACAAAGGAGGAAGTGGAGAAACTATTTGAAAAGTATGGCCATAACAAAGCACTGGGACCAGACAAAACGTCACCATGGGTACTGAAGGAAGGAGCAGAAATACTGAGTGGTCCAATAACAAAATTAACAGATTATTGGAGGCAGGAACAGCTGCCAAACATCTGGAAAAGAGAAGAAACTCACGTTGTGGATATATTCAAGGAAAGGAGACAGGACGCCAGTTTCACTGACAGGTATATTACTCAAAGTTCTGGTGAAGGTTTTAAGGTGAAGGATGGTGAAATAACTGAAGAGGGAAGAATACGTCATATACAACCAGCAGGGATTCATGGAAGGTGAACCATACTTAATAAATCCCGTTTGTTTTCTACGACTTAGTTACGGATATAAAACACGAAGGGCAGACGTAGCTACAGAAAAATGCGTAACACAGTACCCCTTCAGAGGTTGATCCAGAAGCTGGATAAACAGGTATGAGTATAAGGGAAAGTGCTTTAGTGTGATGATCAAGGCATACCCTACAGACAGAATACAAACAGGAGCAGTTAGGTACGGCAGAAGTCCACGAGGCTCGAGTCCAGCATACCTAATAATGCCACAGCAAGAGGCGAGGTCAGAAGCAGTGCTTCGACCCACCCAAACACACCTCAGTGACTATAAGTCGTGAGTATACACAAACACGAGGATTTACACACAGATGAAATTTTCATTGTTCACTTCCACTTACATTCACTTTGTTCCAGTAATTGTTCATGACGTTTCGCTTATGACCGGTCCTGATAACAGAGAGGAACTACCGTTGGGTAACAGGTAGGGAACACTGCTACAAATCCACTGGAGGAGGAGGACCGTTATCGGGAGGGGTACCAGAATGGAAACATGGAGTAACAGAAAATATATGGGCAACAGAATAGAAACAAGGACGCAACACTCCTACACAAGGACACTAGGAGCCAAGTAACAGTCAAGGGAGACAGTAGGTGACAGGGAGTAGGCAGCCCTCAGGTACTCCACCGCCAGACTGAAGTGGTTCGTCAAGTCCAACTATGATAACACTGACACTGATAACACGATAACAGCTAGTTATTTCCTTCTGATATCCAGTAAGTTATCACTCAGGGATACGTCATCATCGGTACACTCGTCGCATCACCAGTACACACTCGCCCCATCACCAGTACACTCATCCCTTCATCAGTACTCACTTGCCCCATCACCAGAGTACACTTGCCTCATCATCAGTACACTTAACCCATCACAGTACACTCACCCCATCATCAGCACACGTCCCATCACAACGGTACATACTCATCCCATCACAACACGCTTGCCCCATCACAACGGTACATACTCGCCCCATCACAATGGTACACGCTTGCCCGTACAACACGTTATCAATGACTATCTTATCAAGTCTTATGGTTGGCAGGTACACCTCGTTGTACACCCGCCCTGTTAGTTTGTCCACACTGCGTGTTGCTATAGTTGTGTATGTGTGTATATCCACACGGTGTACTGCTTTTGTGATTCACTGTGCCACACGGTGTGCTGCTTTCGTGAGTCAGTGTAGCCACACAATCCGGAAGTTTTGGTTGTGTAAAAGGCGACTAAAGTGTCAGGAGTTTGTATCAGTCACTAGTAGGCCAAGGAAGGGTTGTTTGAACGTATATGGGTGTGGTAGTAGTAGTGGTGATAAGAAATAACTGAATGCATCAAGGTTTTTCCTTTTCATATAACAGGATTTTTGCTCAATTTTCCTCCTTAAAGTGCAATTTAGAGAGCAAGTTTGATTTAAAATGATAATTCATGCGTTGCTACCCAGTCTTACATCAATTCTGCTATTGACGGGCATAATTTTGCGAAAGAAAGGAAGTGGGATATCGAAGCACCGTATGAATGTATCTTTCCATATATTTATGTGTGTTGAGACATGTCGTATATCTCACTTGTTTCACACACACACACACACATGCATTCTCACTTAGATATCACTATGCTTTTGTTTTCCTTCATTTTTCTCTTATCCCATACCTTTAATCATTTTTTCTGTGCCTCCCTACACTCCTTCCCTCCTCACCGTGTACCATCTTCATTAATTTTGGATTTTGTCGTCTGACATAAATGACACTCAAGAGCTTGACAGAACGCTGGTCAGAAGAACTGTAAAGACGGAGGGAAGAGGATCACAAAACACAGGTCACGACATGGCAGATGTCCACAGAAAATTTGTAAGATGCTCTTTCCTCTTGTAAACGTTTTAAAAAAAATATTTTATGTTAAAACTTGGAAGATTCATTTGGCGAAAATAAAAATTGTCCCTTCAAAAAAAAAAAAAATGTTTATGTAAATTTGGTTTATTTTTCTTTCTTCTTGATCTGTTACTTTTGTCTTTCATGTCTTTTTTTTTCTTCTCCCTTTGCAGATAAGGAGCGCCCGTCAGGGTGACCTGAGTGGGGTGAGGGAGGCACTGAATAAGGGCGTGGGCGTGGTCCAGGTGAATGGCTTGGACCAGGAGGCTTCAGGGCGTGGGCGTGTGGCCCTCCAACACGCCAGTGAGGGCGGTCACCTGCCTGTTGTAAACCTCCTGCTCCAAGCAGGTGCTGACCTTCATATACGCAGCAAGAAGCCTGGAGACCAAGGTCACCCATAATACACTCTTAGCCTCATAAATTAACCTCCAGTACAGTCACTTATTCAAACATTCCTGAAGTGTGTCCAAGTTCCAAGTCTTCCCCCACATGCTTTGTGTTGCATATTATATCCATGGACACCATTATATCATTGAGAAATAGCCAGGGTACCATATTTCACGTAATATTTTACTGCAGACTTCTTTATTATTAGCTAAAATAGAGATGGTCGACTATATATTATTATCTGACGTCACATGAATAAGAAATTCGTTCTCAATTATTATTGTAAATATTAGTGTTAATATATATGTTGTTAGGTTATTACTGAAATATATGTTTACCAATAATTGGTCAGGTGTTTCTAAAGTACTAGTTAAATAGCCGGCTTATCTCCTGCTTAGGTCACCTGACTGACCTCTTGTTACCTGCGACTGGTGCAGAGGTAGTAAGTTCAAGCCCTCAGTAGTAAGTTCAGACCCTCAGTAGTAAGTTCAGACCCTCAGTAGTAAGTTCAGACCCTCAGTAGTAAGTTCAGGCCCTCAGTAGTAAGTTCAGGCCCTCAGTAGTAAGTTCAGGCCCTCAGTAGTAAGTTCAGGCCCTCAGTAAGTTCAGGCCCTCAGTAGTAAGTTCAGGCCCTCAGTAGTAAGTTCAGGCCCTCAGTAGTTAAGTTCAGACCCTCGTAATAAGTTCAGGCCCTCAGTGTAAGTTTAGGCCTCAGTAGTAAGTTCAGGCCTCAGTAGAAGTTTAGGCCTCAGTAGTAAGTTCAGGCCCTCAGTAGTAAGTTCAGGCCCTCAGTAGTAAGTTCAGGCCCTCAGTAGTAAGTTCAGGCCCTCAGTAGTAAGTTCAGGCCCTCAGTAGTAAGTTCAGGCCCTCAGTAGTTCAGGCCTCAGTAGTAGTTCAGGCCCTCAGTAGTAAGTTCAGGCTCAGTAGTAAGTTCAGGCCCTCAGTGTAAGTCAGGCCCTCAGTAGTAAGTTCAGGGCTCAGTAGTAAGTTCAGGCCCTCAGTAGTAGTTCAGGCCCTCAGTAGTAAGTACAGGCCTCAGTAGTAAGTTCAGGCCTCAGTAGTAAGTTCAGGCCCTCGTAGTAAGTACAGGCCCTCAGTAGTAAGTTCAGACCTCAGTAGTAAGTTCAGGCCTCAGTAGTAAGTTCAGGCCCTCAGTAGTAGTTCAGGCCTCAGTAGTAAGTTCAGGCCCTTGTAGTAAGTTCAGGCCTCAGTAGTAAGTTCAGGCCCTCAGTAGTAAGTTCAGGCCCTCGTAGTAGTTTAGGCCCTCAGTAGTAAGTTCAGGCCCTCAGTAGTAAGTTCAGGCCCTCAGTAGTAAGTTCAGGCCCTCAGTAGTAAGTTCAGGCCCTCAGTACTAAGTTCAGGCCCTCAGTAGTAAGTACAGGCGCTCAGTAGTAAGTTCAGGCCCTCAGTAGTAAGTTCAGGCCCTCAGTAGTAAGTTCAGACCCTCAGTAGTAAGTTCAGGCACTCAGTAGTAAGTTCAGGCCCTCAGTAGTAAGTTCAGACCCTCAGTAGTAAGTTCAGGCCCTCAGTAGTAAGTTCAGGCCCTCAGTAGTAAGTTCAGGCCCTCAGTAGTAAGATTAGGCCCTCAGTAGTAAGTTCAGGCCCTCAGTAGTAAGATTAGGCCCTCAGTAGTAAGTTCAGGCCCTCAGTAGTAAGCTTAGGCCTCAGTAGTAGTTCAGGCCTCAGTAGTAAGTTCAGGCATCATGTAGTAAGTTCAGGCACTCAGTAGTAAGTTCAGGCCCTCAGTAGTAAGTTCAGGCACTCAGTAGTAAGTTCAGGCCCTTAGTAGTAAGTTCAGGCCCTCAGTAGTAAGTTCAGGCCCTCAGTAGTAAGTTCAGGCCCTCAGTAGTAAGTTTCAGGCCCTCAGTAGTAGTTCAGACCTCAGTAGTAAGTTCAGGCACTCAGTAGTAAGTTCAGGCCCTCAGTAGTATGTTCAGGCCCTCAGTAGTAAGTTCAGCCCTCAGTAGTAAGTTCAGGCATCAGTACGATAAGTTCAGGCGCTCAGTAGTAGTTCAGGCCCTCAGTAGTAAGTTCAGGCCCTCAGTAGTAAGTTCAGGCCCTCAGTAGTAAGTTCAGGCCCTCAGTAGTAAGTTCAGGCCCTCAGTAGTAAGTTCAGGCCCTCAGTAGTAAGTTCAGGCCCTAAGTAGTAAGTTCAGGCCCTCAGTAGTAAGTTCAGACCCTCAGTAGTAAGTTCAGACCCTCAGTAGTAAGTTCAGGCCCTCAGTAGTAAGTTCAGGCCCTCAGTAGTAAGTCAGGCCCTCGTAGTAAGTTCAGGCCTCAGTAGTAAGTTCAGACCTCAGTAGTAAGTTCAGGACCCTCAGTAGTAAGTTCAGACCTCAGTAGTAAGTTCAGGCCCTCAGTAGTAAGTTCAGGCCTCAGTAGTAAGTTCAGGCCCTCGTAGTAAGTTCAGGCCTCAGTAGTAAGTTCAGGCCCTCAGTAGTAAGTTCAGAACCTCAGTAGTAAGTTCAGACCCTCAGTAGTAAGTTCAGGCCCTCAGTAGTAAGTTCAGGCCCTCAGAAGTAAGTTCAGGCCCTCAGTAGTAAGTTCAGGCCCTCAGTAGTAAGTTCAGGCCCTCAGTAGTAAGTTCAGACCCTCAGTAGTAAGTTCAGGCCCTCAGTAGTAAGTTCAGACCCTCAGTAGTAAGTTCAGGCCCTCAGTAGTAAGTTCAGGCCCTCAGTAGTAGTTCAGGCCTCAGTAGTAAGTTCAGGCCCTCAGTAGTAAGTTCAGGCCCTCAGTAGTAAGTTCAGGCCCTCAGTAGTAAGTTCAGAACGTCAGTAGTAAGTTCAGACCCTCAGTAGTAAGTTCAGGCCCTCAGTAGTAAGTTCAGGCCCTCAGTAGTAAGTTCAGGCCCTCAGTAGTAAGTTCAGGCACTAGTAGTAAGTTCAGGCCTCAGTAGTAAGTTCAGGCCCTAAGTAGTAAGTTCAGGCCCTCAGTAGTAAGTTCAGACCCTCAGTAGTAAGTTCAGACCTCAGTAGTAAGTTCAGGCCTCAGTAGTAAGTTCAGGCCCTCAGTAGTAAGTTCAGGCCCTCAGTAGTAAGTTCAGGCGCTCAGTAGTAAGTTCAGACCCTCAGTAGTAAGTTCAGGCCCTCAGTAGTAAATTCAGATCCTCAGTAGTAAGTTCAGGCCCTCAGTAGTAAGTTCAGGCCCTCAGTAGTAAGTTCAGGCCCTCAGTAGTAAGTTCAGACCCTCAGTAGTAAGTTCAGGCCCTCAGTAGTAAGTTCAGGGCCTCAGTAGTAAGTTCAGGCCCTCAGTAGTAAGTTCAGGCCCTCAGTAGTAAGTTCAGAACCTCAGTAGTAGTTCAGACCCTCAGTAGTAAGTTCAGGCCCTCAGTAGTAAGTTCAGGCCCTCAGTAGTAAGTTCAGGGCCTCAGTAGTAAGTTCAGGCCCTCAGTAGTAAGTTCAGACCCTCAGTAGTAAGTTCAGGCCCTCAGTAGTAAGTTCAGGGCCTCAGTAGTAAGTTCAGGCCCTCAGTAGTAAGTTTAGGGCCTCAGTAGTAGTTCAGGCCTCAGTAGTAAGTTCAGGCCCTCAGTAGTAAGTTCAGGGCCTCAGTAGTAAGTTCAGGCCCTAAGTAGTAAGTTTAGGGCCTCAGTAGTAAGTTCAGGCCCTCAGTAGTAAGTTCAGGTCCTCAGTAGTAAGTTCAGGCCCTCAGTAGTAAGTTCAGGCCCTCAGTAGTAAGTTCAGGGCCTCAGTAGTAAGTTCAGGCCTCCAGTAGTAAGTTCAGGCCCTCAGTAGTAAGTTCAGGCCCTCAGTAGTAGTTCAGGCCCTCAGTAGTAAGTTCAGGCTCTCAGTAGTAAGTTCAGGCCCTAGTAGTAAGTTCAGGCCTCAGTAGTAAGTTCAGGCCTCAGTAGTAAGTTCAGGCCTCAGTAGTAAGCTCAGGCCTCAGTAGTAAGTTCAGGCCCTCAGTAGTAAGTTCAGGCTCTCAGTAGTAAGTTCAGGCCCTCAGTAGTAAGTTCAGGCCCTCAGTAGTAATGTTCAGGCCTCAGTAGTAGTTCAGGACCTCATTAGTAAGTTCAGGCCCTCAGTAGTAAGTTCAGGCCTCAGTAGTAAGTTCAGGCCTCAGTAGTAAGTTCAGGCCTCAGTAGTAAGTTCAGGCCCTCAGTAGTAAGTTCAGGCCCTCAGTAGTAAGTTTAGGCCCTCAGTAGTAAGTTCAGGCCCTCAGTAGTAAGTTCAGGCCCTCAGTAGTAAGTTCAGGCCCTCAGTAGTAAGTTCAGGCCCTCAGTAGTAAGTTCAGGCCTCAGTAGTAAGTTCAGGCCTCAGTAGTAAGTTCAGGCCCTCAGTAGTAAGTTCAGGCCCTCAGTAGTAAGTTTAGGCCCTCAGTAGTAGTTCGGGCTCTCAGTAGTAAGTTCAGGCCTCAGTAGTAAGTTCAGGCCTCAGTTAGTAAGTTCAGGCCTCAGTGTAAGTTCAGGCCTCAGTAGTAAGTTCAGACCTCAGTAGTAAGTTCAGGCACTCAGTAGTAAGTTCAGACCCTCAGTAGTAAGTTCAGGCCCTCAGTAGTAAGTTCAGGCCCTCAGTAGTCAGTTCAGACCCTCAGTAGTAAGTTCAGGCACTCAGTAGTAAGTTCAGGCACTCAGTAGTAAGTTCAGACAATCAGTAGTAAGTTCAGGCCCTCAGTAGTAAGTTCAGGCCCTCAGTAGTAAGTTCAGACCCTCAGTAGTAAGTTCAGGCCTCAGTAGTAAGTTCAGACCCTCAGTAGTAAGTTCAGACCTCAGTAGTAAGTTCAGGCCTCAGTAGTAAGTTCAGGCTCTCAGTAGTAGTTCAGGCCCTCAGTAGTAAGTTCAGGCCTCAGTAGTAAGTTCAGGCCTCAGTAGTAAGTTCAGGCCCTCAGTAGTAAGTTCAGGCCTCAGTAGTAAGTTCAGGCACTCAGTAGTAAGTTCAGGCCCTCAGTAGTAAGTTCAGGCCCTCAGTAGTAAGTTCAGGCCCTCAGTAGTAAGTTCAGGCACTCAGTAGTAAGTTCAGGCCCTCAGTAGTAAGTTCAGGCCCTCAGTAGTAAGTTCAGGCCCTCAGTAGTGTAGTTCAGGCCCTCAGTAGTAAGTTCAGGCTCTCAGTAGTAAGTTCAGGCCTCAGTAGTAAGTTCAGGCCTCAGTAGTAAGTTCAGGCCTCAGTAGTAAGTTCAGGCACTCAGTAGTAAGTTCAGACCCTCAGTAGTAAGTTCAGGCTCTCAGTAGTAAGTTCAGGCCCTCAGTAGTAAGTTCAGGCTCTCAGTAGTAAGTTCAGGCCCTCAGTAGTAAGTTCAGGCCCTCAGTAGTAAGTTCAGAACCTCAGTAGTAAGTTCAGGCCCTCAGTAGTAAGTTCAGGCCCTCAGTAGTAAGTTCAGGCACTCAGTAGTAAGTTCAGGCCCTCAGTAGTAAGTTCAGGCCCTCAGTAGTAAGTTCAGGCACTCAGTAGTAAGTTCAGGCACTCAGTAGTAAGTTCAGGCACTCAGTAGTAAGTTCAGGCCCTCAGTAGTAAGTTCAGGCACTCAGTAGTAAGTTCAGGCACTCAGTAGTAAGTTCAGGCCTCAGTAGTAAGTTCAGGCACTCAGTAGTAGTTCAGGCATCAGTAGTAAGTTCAGGCACTCAGTAGTAAGTTCAGGCACTCAGTAGTAAGTTCAGGCACTCAGTAGTAAGTTTCAGGCACTCAGTAGTAAGTTCAGGCACTCAGTAGTAAGTTCAGGCACTCAGTAGTAAGTTCAGGCACTCAGTAGTAAGTTCAGGCACTCAGTAGTAAGTTCAGGCACTCAGTAGTAAGTTCAGGCACTCAGTAGTAAGTTCAGACCCTCAGTAGTAAGTTCAGACCCTCAGTAGTAAGTTCAGGCCCTCAGTAGTAAGTTCAGACCCTCAGTAGTAAGTTCAGGCACTCAGTAGTAAGTTCAGGCACTCAGTAGTAAGTTCAGGCACTCAGTAGTAAGTTCAGGCACTCAGTAGTAAGTTCAGGCACTCAGTAGTAAGTTCAGGAACTCAGTAGTAAGTTCAGGCACTCAGTAGTAAGTTCAGCCACTCAGTAGTAAGTTCAGGCACTAGGTTATAAAGCTACTCCTCAGTGTTTTAAAGCACGTGAATTTATATTAAGTTTCTTGCATAAGACAATGCTGAATCTCGTTTAAAAGATATAACTAATCTGGGTTATTCTCTTGAGAAACTAAAGGTTTCTCTTGAATAGAATATTAATTAAATCTAGTCTGCATATAGTTGTCCATATTAATAAATTGGTTTTGGCTCCATTCTATAAAGTTAATATAGATATAAACATTATATATAATAAATTTACTTCTAAAGAAAGTAGTGAAGCAACGTTGGTTTTAAAATCATATATTAATATACCCTATTTAACTTATTTCAAAGGTACTAAAGTTAAAGATGTAAGTATTTTATGTTGGATTCTTGTTATCTCTAATAAAAAAGGGAGATTATTTTGTAATTTAAATAAATTGTTGTTAGTAAAGTGTTACCTTGGAACCACCAGAATTAATAAGTGGTTGGTTAAGCAAGCCAAGGTGAACTTGACATACTAAAAGCAACACTTTGCATGTAAATATGATAAATAAAGTCTTCTCAATAAAATAATATCAAAAGCATGTTTTGGTCTTTTTCACAAACTTATGGATATATTCTATCACTGACATATATCCAGCAGTCTTGTCACCTTCACTTCAATTTATATTCTCATTATATTGGTATCATCCACAAACAATAACAAGTGAGAGTTTGTTGCTGCTGTCAGGTCATCAGTATATATTAAGATCAAACTGACATCTTACACTCATTCTTCTTCTTCCAAGAATTTGAAGTTTCCTAATTTTCCAAAAAAAAAAAAAAAAAAAAATCGCTGTATAGCCCTTGTGGCTTAGCGCTTCTTTTTGATTATGATAATAATAATCCAAAAAAATTCCTCATTATACAGCATTTACATGTAACATTCATTATACAGCATTTACATGTTGCATACATTAGTTAACACAGGTCCAAAGTTCGGTACTTCCTGTCTGTCCCTCTTTTTTTTTTTTGACACTTCAAAAATTAAAATTTTTTTGTCTATTCTTCAAAATAACTTTTATGTATCATAAAATTTACTAACCAGAGATTATTTGCTATTTCTGGTCAAAGAATTAACTTCCCACTAGTCTTCGCGTCGAGTGGCTCATTCTGGTAATAATATTCCTGCATTATATGAGCCCAAGTTCTAGCAGTCTGTATTCGAAATTTATCTATATTGTGCCTACAGGAGGAACAGCACTTCACTTGGCAGCAGAGGCTGGGCACACACACGTCATGGAGGCTCTACTGATGAACCACGCTGATCCGGAGGCCCTTGATGACAAAGGTAAAGACTTTTTATTATTATTATTGCTAGGCGTCTTAATTTTTTTGTTCTTCCTCCTACTTTTCTATTTTTTTTCGCTCATAACTCGAGAATTCTCATCCAGTGGGATTCAGATTTTGAGTGGTAACGATAACTAGGTTCTAATAACACTTATGAACGGTGACGAGGACCAGGTTCTAAGAACATTTGTGTACAGTAACGAAGACCAGGTTTTAGAAATACTTATGAATGGTAACGAGGACCAGGTTCTAGGAACACTTATGTACGTTAACGAGGACCAGGTTCTAGGAACACTTATATACGGTAACGAGGACCAGGTTCTAGGAACACTTATGTACGTTAACGAGGACCAGGTTCTAGAAACACTTATGTACGTTAACGAGGACCAGGTTCTGGAAACACTTATGTACGTTAACGAGGACCAGGTTCTAGGAACACTTATGTACGTTAACGAGGACCAGGTTCTAGGAACACTTATGTACGTTAACGAGGACCAGGTTCTAGGAACACTTATGTACGTTAACGAGGACCAGGTTCTAGGAACACTTATGTACGGTAACGAGGACCAGGTTCAAGGAACACTTATGTACGGTAACGAGGACCAGGTTCTAGGAACACTTATGTACGGTAACGAAGACCAGGTTCTAGGAACACTTATGTACGGTAACGAGGACCAGGTTCAAGGAACACTTATGTACGGTAACGAGGACCAGGTTCTAGGAACACTTGTGTACGGTAACGAGGACCAGGTTCTAGGAACACTTGTGTACGGTAACGAGGATTTGGAAGGATTAGTACCATACTTGCACACGAAAATCACTCCCTATGAAAGCAAAAGACTCGGCAGGAGATGTAACATTCCCCCAATGAAAAGTAGGGGCGCCACTAACATGAAAAGAGACAACACAATAAGTGTCAGGGGCCCAAGATTGTTCAATTGCCTCCCAGCATACATAAGGGAGACTGAAGACTAAGACACACATAAGGGGGATTACCAATAGACCCCTGGCTGTCTTCAAGAAGGTGCTAGACAGGCACCTAAAGTCAGCACCTGACCAGCCGGGCTGTGGTTCGTACGTCAGTTTGCGCGCGGCCAGCAGTAACAGCCTGGTTGATCAAACCCTGATCCACCACGAGGCTTGGTCTCAGACTGGGCCACGGGGGGCGTTGACCCCCGAAACCTTCTCCAGGTAAACTCCAGGGGCAGGTGACCTATACCTAATTTTACATGAGCCATTCCTACGTTTGGTTCTCATGTAATTATATAACACAATACAATTTATTTCTTTTTGCAGTACACAATATGTAGTTTACATGTAATAATATAGTTAAGCACAAAGGAATCACTCAGCTCACACAATGAGACCCGTGGGTCGATCCCCGGTACGGGTGGACATGTAGGAGTAACAGTGTTTCCTTTAAGACACCCGCTGTCCTGGTTCACCTAGCATTAAAATGGGTACCTTGGTGTAGGTCGCATCCTGGGGGAAAAGTAACCTAATTTGCCCGAAACGCTCTGCATAAGTTTTTTTTTTTATATAGTATGCCACTGATGTCAGCTACGGCTGTATGAGTTGTATCATATACTTGTAGAAAAAATAATATTATTATTATTATAACACTCGGTGCATTTCGGACATTCTTCTGGCGTATCCTAGCCGCCTTCAAAAGTTAAAGACTATTGTATCCTAGTTGGAAGAATGTTGAAATTGTCAGTGGAGAGTGTATAGGCGTCATTTTGCCAATTTTCATTTCGAAATGTAACAGCGTTGTTTTATATTAAACTTCTGGAGTATCAGTGGCAGTCCCTTTCCTTAGGGGTATTTTACATCGTGTTCCAAGCCTCTTACCCTCTTTGGGAATGATTTAGGTGTGTAAGTTTGGTACCAAATCCGAGAGCAGTTTGCAGGCGTAAATTATTATGTATATTAATAAACGGTTGTTCGTTTATTAATATACACTAATCGAACCTCTACCAGTATTTTGAGCTGAATAATCAGCTCTTTCCCCCACACTCGAGTGTTCACCTCACTGTCAGTGATTGGCTAAACTAAAAAGCGTTTGTTACCCCTTTCTATTCAGATGAATATAAAAACAGTATGTGTCAATAATTAATAATAATGTTAAGCAAGTAAATCAGCGAGTGAGATTCCTTCAGGCAGACGGCCGGCGCACTGGGCAGCTTACACAGGTCAGCTGAAGTCCCTGGAGGTGCTGAAGGATTACAAGTGTGACCTCCACTCCCTGGACAACGAGGGGTCATCGGTGTTGCACCTGGCTGCCGCTTACGGTGACTTGGAGGTGGTCAAGTGGCTGGTACATAACAAGGTGAGCTACGACCTCAGGGACCACAGGAACCGCCTGCCGAAGGATGTGGCCCGAGTTCTGGGACTGAGTGATGTTCATCACTTCCTGAAGCAGTGCGCCACCACCAAGGTTAACATGGTAAGTGTGTAACTGTGTGTTGAGACTTAATAATGCTTAGATGGGGTTGTGGCAATAAAACATACGAACAATCAAGATATTTGATGACGGAGACGGAAACGTATCGTCACTGGTGGCTTTTCAGTCCTAATCATCAGAATAAGAGACACCAGTGGCGAAACGTCTTCCTCGGTAAATGCCTTGACTGTGCGTGTGTGGCTTATTATAACATTCATTACTACTTGTCAGTTAGAAAGGTTACCCCTCACGGCGTGACCTCTACCTAGGCATCTTGGCTGACTAGGGTGACGCCTATCTCCCATTTCTTCTCCTTCCCCCATCCCTCCACTAGCCTTAATAAAAACAAAGATTACCCCTTCCCACGGACTATCCTCTACTTCGTTTCAAGGAATACATTCCTACCTGCTAAAACTCACTGCTTCAGGAGCATTTTGAGGAAATTTATCAAGGACCTCTTGAAGACAGTAATCTGTTGGAAACTGCTTATAAATCAGAAGAAATTATAGTAAATCCTTAATAATATCCCTAATGTTTGTAGACTTGTGAAGGTGATTATTGGATCCCTATTTTTGGTACAACTATTTTACACTGTACAGCGTCACGTTAGGAGTTATTTCACTGTGCATATTTGTAACTAGTCAGTCATGTATTTTTAGGATTGTCCATTTGAATATGATGATTCATTTCTATGGTTGACTAAGCTAAGAAAATACTTTTTTACTATTTTAAAATGAAGTACAAAGATGGGATATTGTAGCACATTATACAGCTCGGTCTCTATTAGAGTGAATAATGAATCGCGTGAAGTGGTCACATTATTTGAATTTGCATTATTCGAATTATAGGTAACTTTTGCGCACGATTTGAAGTTTGGGAAAACTATCATTATATTACTTATATATATATATATATAAATATATATATATAATATATATTATATATAAATATATAAATATATATATATATATATATATATATATATATATATACTATGTGCACGAACGCATGCATAAATATGTACACATGACAAATGATACTTAATACACACACGTGCCGCAAGTTGAGGCGGGGCCAGGAGCTGAGACTCGACCCTTGCAACCACAAATGATTATATATTTGAGTACACACAACACAATAGCTAACATCACAACTTTCTTCATCTATAGTCTTGGGGACGAGCCAAGAGGACCTCCAGTCTCTACTCTGAAGAAGACACCACTCAAGACACTGTGGTAAGCTAAGAGTGTATACTCTTAATAACCAAATGTATGTGTTACTAGTCGAAGTGTATTTAATATTTAATACGGTTGTTTAAATGCACGACCTACCTCATGTAAACATAGTTACAAGCTATGCTGATGACATCAAGATCCTGTAACATGGCATAGGGAAATATGTACCATTCTTAATTATTTAATTACATGTAATCTATTAGTCTGAGACGCAGATAATTCAAAGACAATAAAAACCAAACGACGTCTCCCACCCTCGCATCAGCTTCCTTAAACCTCAGTTACCTTGGTGTAGATGTACCCTTCAGTAAGTCCACCACCATTATTCTCATATGTTAATTTTTAAAGGGGTGGATTGGTAAGCCAGCGGAAGGCCTCGGTCAGATGACCAAAAACTTCAGTGGCGGGTCATCATATGACCCGCCACGTCAGGAAACAACTGTCTTGTTTCCTGTCGAATCTTACCCAACCCAAGTCCACCATACCATAAATAAACACGAAATGCAGAGCTAGGCTAAATGCTGTCAGTGCAGTTGCTGACTACAGCCTCACCTATAGTACTAATGTAAGAATGATGTATGTATATAGCCTACACTAGATCCTTAATTGATTATATTTTTCATTCTATAACTTGTTCGAACTATAGTACCATACAGCAAGAGCATCTCACCCTTCATTGGAGAAGCTATTAGACAAAAATGAATTAATGAACAATTCGTTTGGATTCCATCACATACTGAATTATTCCTACACGATGAAGATGATAAATTATACACAAATAACCCGCACATAAAAGAGAGAAGCTTACGACGACGTCGTAATCTCAACAGTTCTCTCCGTCCCTTAGACATCAAGCTCTCCTTCCGCCAGACTAACACTCTTCGCACTAATCTCGTTCATACCTCTCCTCCCTCTACAGATGTTCCTGGTGTCTACTCTATTTCTTGCTCCTCCTGTCCTCTTCAATACTTCGGAGAAACTGGTCGATCTCTTTCTGACAGACTTAGGGAGCACAAAAATAGTGTTAGGCTTGCCGACACTAACAATGCTCTTTTCTGTCACGTCAGAGATCATAGCCATCCTATTGACTGGTCTTCTGCTAAAACTGTCTTCCCTACTTCCAACTTCCAACCCGAACAGTCGCCGTCTAGTTGAATCCTCTCTAATACACAACTTTCCTTGTATGAATCTTAGCCCTCGCTTCGTCTCTGTAGATGCCTTCCTCTCCCGCTACATTGTAAAATGCTCCAAACTTCAGAACACCCGTGACTTAACCTGACTCCTCATTTTTTCTTTTTCTCCCTCTTCCCCTTTCCTCTTTCTCCTCTGGGTTGTCTTTCTCTCTTCTGTCTCGTGTTTCTGTTTCTTCCTTCTTCATTTATTTCACCACTTCCCCTTTCACGCACTTCTGTGCGCTTGCTCTCCCTCTGTGGGCACCTAGCTCTCTTGCAGTGCTCCCCTTCCTTTGTATTTGACTGGCTCGTCCTCCTTTTTCCCCACTTCTACCACTACCACTACTACTACCTCTTCTACTACTACTACTACTACTGATGAAATTAAGACACATGTGCGGCGTCTGGTTGTCTTTGTTGTGGACGTTTCGCCATCCAGTGGCTGGCTGGATGGTGAAACGTCTACGATAGGGATGCCCGGGTGTTGCGCATGTGTCTTAATTTCATCTTGTCGGTATTATATACCATTCTTGTACTACTACTACTACCACCACCACCACCTCTTCCTGCCTATATATAGCCGTCCTGCTCCACTTCTGGTTAGTGTGACTTTGTAAATGGTCCAAGTCGGACCGAAACGTCGTCGTAAGCTTCTCTCTTTTATGTGCGGGTTATTTGTGTATCGTTCCAGTCACCGTATTGTGCCTTTTTTTGTTATTTATAAGATGATAAATTATCCAAAGGTCTTTGAAAGAAGAAATTCAATATAACCTTGATCTGTTTGTGTAAACAAGAAGCCTAAGTAGATCTATAATTCACTATAGCATGAATGTATATAACGTACATTTATGGAGCAACTTGCAATGAAAACGTGCTGACTAATGTTGTAATAGTCAGTCTGGGCTTAGTTACAAACACTTCTAGCAGGTAGGCAGACACACAGTCGATAATTATACTTAACATAAAGAATGTACTCAGACTTACGGTCATTTTTTTTTTTTTTGAACATGTGCATAACTGTCCAGTTATCCAGGAATATGAAGTTAGTTATAATAACCTATGTGAGTTATGTTAACGTATCTTAGTGATTAAAATAAGATACTGGACATTTTAAGTAAATACCCAAAATTTGCTTGTGACATGAAAAATATATTGTAAATATGTATTCAGAAGTACCATTATGAGACAGTTTCTAGGCCTTTTGTGTATCCATATAAATTCTTGCGCTACCGTCCATAGGATGGATATGAGGTGCACGATAAACTGGACACCTCGGTAGCCAAAGCTGAAATTGAATATTGCTGAAATTGTTATATGCTTCTCTTCTCTCTGTTTACCGACAAGTATCTCAAATTTTCTATTCATCACGTTTCATTTTCTCAAATAACTTTCTCAGTCTTTTCATAACACACGTCCCTCACACACAGGATAACTCACAAGGAGACAACAGCCTTGAAACCAGCATAGAGGAAGAAGAGGAAGTGGAGAGGGCTAGAAGGATGAGTGATGAAGAGGAACAGGCATGGTGGAAAAGGAAGAAGGAGGACGAGGTCAAGAAAAAAGAAAAGGCGGAAGAGGAGGCCAGAAGGAAGAGAGATGAAAAGGAGAAGGAAGCTAGAAGAAAGAGAGAGGAAGAAGAGGAGATGGACAGAAAGCAAAGACGAGCAGAAGAGGAGGAGGTTAGAAGGATGAGAAAGGAGGAAGAAGAGAAGGCTATGATGCAGAGGCGGGCAGAAGAAGAGGAGGCTAGAAGGATGAGAAAGGAGGAAGAAGAGAAGGCTATGAAACAGAGGCGGGCAGAAGAAGAGGAGGCTATGAAACAGAGACGGGCAGAAGAGGAAGAGGCTAGGAGGAAGCGACAAGCGGAAGAGGAAGATGACAGGAGGAAGCGACAAGCGGAAGAGGAGGAGGCTAGGAGGGAAAGGAGGCAAGAGATAGAGGCCAAAGAGAGGGCTCTTTCATCTCTACGAGAGGAGGTGGAGCAGCAGCTTCAGAAGCTCGAGTCTGAGCGTCTCCTTGTAACAGCCGGCCAGGTGAGTTAGTCCCAGTAACCTCAGGGACCCCGAGATGAATGTTACAGGGGATGCTTCCCTTTAAGGGAAGTGGGAAGGGTTCTTTTTTTGACGCTGGTGAAGGGCTCTTGATTCAAGAAAATAGCGGGACTAAAATATTTTCAACTGGCTTATATAAAGTGGGGACAAGCTCATATTGAGTAGTAGTGATAATACAGAGAGTGCATACACTTTTAATGCGTCAGCAGCACAGAGATGAATCATTAGTGAAATTGGGAAGATAAAACACTACGGCTTCGGAGAAAAGTGACTTTTTTTTTTTTACCATTTCAGTCCCTTAGGTAGCGAGTCCAGTAGCTGGAGCTCCGACCTAGTAGACAAGTAAATAATTAGGTAATCAGACATACATAAAACGGCTCTTCAAGAAGATAAATATTTCTTTAGAAATAAATTAATGATTATTGGAATAGGCTCTGGGAGGAGTGTTTGCAATACACAAATAACCACATTCCAAGTGTTTGCAATGACTTGGAAAAGTCTCGCGACATTATTTTAACGACTGAAAACTGTAAACAGTATTTAAGTTTCCAATATTTTAGAGGACTGACAGCATTAGAACTCTTGTCAAGTCTGTGGCTAGAGCACTGGGCTGTGGTTCTAGGACTGGCTTGCCGTAAGCGCAGATCCTGCACGTTCAGTGAAAGACAAGAAAGCTGAACAAATATTGTGATAATTCACAAACAGTCTACACCAGTCACACCACAGGAGTACCTTCACCAGACACCAACTTAGGCACTAACAGATAACACAAAATCGGTGTGTGTATATATATATATATATATATATATATATATATATATATATATATATATATATATATAATAATAATATATATATATATATATAATTACTGAATTCACAAACAAAATTGATGTAACTGTAATTGCTACCAACAGTAAACTATAACCGACAAGAGTTACAGAGACTAGTGTTCCCCTACTATGGACCACATCAGGACCAACACCATATCCCTTAAATCAGGCATAATTACAGATAATACCACAGACCAGGTACTAGCTTTCCCATAACAATTTGTGTTTTTAAAAACCTAGAACACTAACTAAAGAATGTGGAGGCTAATTCCCCAATGAGGCGCCATAATAACTTCACAACACGATTAGGCAAACAATTTTGATTGCACAACTGAGCTGATGAAATCCCAATTACGAGATATTGGAAAAAGTAGATTAAAAGTTTTCTAAAAAAGACTCAATACTCATACAGCACTCCTGTTAAAAACTAAGCTAGATGACAGCTAAGAACTGAACAGTCCCTGGCTAACACCAGCATTCTCAATTTCCCTAAAATACAAAACACCAATATGAAAAACAGTACAGAAAAGGGGACATAACCAAGGGCCAAAAAAAACTTACTCGTCAAACCTAAAGCCTATAGAAGGGGAAAAAAATTGTATTATGAGAACCGATTATCCAACTTACGAGGTAAATAAAAAGACCTGGAAAACCCTATCAGAAATTCTGGGAACAAAAAAGAATCACGAAATAGCGAAATAAAATTAGCAAAATCAGATAACCCCAACTCCCCCCCAACAGAAACGAAACAATCAATGTTTCTTCTCCACTATGGGAAAAAACCCTTTTGCCAAAAAACCCAACCCAAATCCCCCACCAAAGACTCCTCACCGGCAACTCCCCCGAAACCACGTTCCAGCTCCGACTAACCCATAAAGTCCCCTTATTATCAACGCACTAAAAAACAAGGCAGGAGTTTTAAAAATACCTTCCCACCCTTTATATCAAAAAAATGTCACAAGGTGCTATCCCCAAATCATTGCAACACTCTTTAACAAATCCATTGAACCCCCCCTTCCCCTCAGTACTCAAAATAGAAAGGGGTCCCCCGATCCACAAAGGAGGAGACCAAACAGAGTTAAAAAACTATGGGCCAAAAATCCAACTTACACCCCCTTCTCAAAATCTCGAAAAATTAATTCAAAAACAATCTACCCCTCCCTTATCCCCCAAAAAACATACTCAACCCCTCCCAATTTGGATTCGGGCCTAATAAAAATACTAATGATGCTTAACCATGCTAAACATATAACACTCAATAGAGAAAAAAGAAGTCCCACGGGGGTCTTCATTGACTTACTAAGCTTTTGATACAGTTGACCATACTTCTCCCAAAAAATTTATCACCTATGGAAAAAGGGGCCTCCCAAAAACTCCCCTCAAGTCATACCTAGAAACAAAGCCAAAAATGGTACGAAAAGGGGGAAAACTCTTCTGCACAACCAATTACTTGGTGCCCCCACAGGGAAGTGTTTTGGGCCCTTTCTCTTTCTCCTATACATAAAGACCTACCAATGCTTCTCAATTACTAAAACCCCCACACTTTTTGCTGTGCACAACATACGTCTTCTCCCCCCCAGCCCAGTCCGCTACCAAATATGTAAATCCCAAATTACAAAAATTCTACCGGGAGAGTACTAACAAACTTACACAAACATTGACAAAACCTACTTTCGGGTTGGTAACAGAGCTACAGATGTCCCCTTAACATAATGAAAAACGGATCACCTACACAAAGCTAAAAAGGGGGAAAAATTCTAGGAACCCCCTTGATAAAAACCCCCAAATTTTAAAAACAATATACAACAAATTTCAAAAGAAAATTCCAAACTGTAGGCATACTATCGAAGATACGGTACTATGCTCCAAAATCAGCCCCCTGGCCCTATATCACTCTCTTATTTACCCTATTCACCTAGGGAATTTGTCAGGGGGCTCAACAAAAAGAACCTTCGACCACTAATTCCCCCAAAAAAAAGGCGCATTAAAAATGAAAAAAAATTTCCACTACGGAGCACATCCACCAAATTTAAATCCCTCAACCTACTCACCATACAAAACTCCATACTTATTACTGCACCTATTACATACATAAAAACACTAAACCCTCTGATATTAACCCTCCCCTCAAACATCTCCTTGCCAACCTCAACAGAACACATGACCAAACACAAGGCACAGATCACTCTTTGATATTCCCGTGCCATCTCACGCTATGCAAAAACTCAATGCACATAAAAGGCCCTAAAATCGGGAATTCATTCCCTGTTAATATAAAAGAAACATACCTGTTTATAAATTCAAGTCTCTTCTCAAAGATCATTTAAACTCACCCAAAACCAAATAAATACTGAATAACTGAACCTTATAAATTGTATATCTTAAATGTTCTCAACAATTATATCACATAAATTAAACCAAAACCCAATCTAACTTTATTATTTTTTAAATTCACTACCTAACAAATACTCCATTCTATGAATTTCAACCAATGCATGCACCATATGACCTGTCTTTGTAATACTCACTTGTGCTTTATAGTAATCGTTTACATTAATGTTTTTTCACTGAGTTTCATCATTGCTTAGTTAATCTTAAGTTAATTTTAAAGCCAGCCCGTAATGCTATGCATAGTATAAGTGGCTTTGGCATGCTGCTCTTATCTGTAATTTTTTTTGTACCTCTGTAAGTGTGCTCAAATTTTAAATAAATAAATAAATAAAATAAATAATATATATATATATATATATATATTTTATATATATAATATATAAATTTTTAGATATATATATTTTATATATATATATATATATATATATACCTTAGATTGGCTGGATTTTAAAAATAAGTTGAATTCAGTAACGTAACAACTCTGACTCCAAATTGAATTATGTAAAAAATAATTGCAGCAGAAGCTTCAGCAGTTGCTTGAACAGGACCTGAGCGGTGATCAGACCACCTCTGCACTGAAGCAGCAGCTGACTCAGGTCACCCAGGAACTGACGAACTTCAAAAGGCAAAATCTCGACAGTCAGGTAAGTAGCAGCGGCCCTGCATATATTGTGATGTTTATACGAAAAACTAGTAGATCACTCAACTCAAGAAATGGTGGAGGCTAAATCCTCCATCAGCTATGAGCGAGAGAGAGAACCTCTACTTTCACGGCTAGGTTTACAAACCATAGATTTTTTAGATTTTGCCACCGAAGTGGCTAGTTTATTGTGCACCCCATATCCATCCTGTGGACGGTAGCGCGAGAGCATGTGGATACACAAAAGGCCTAGGAACTAGGCCCCAAAGGGTTAACAGGAATACATATGGATTTATATCTACATATCTATAGTTCACTTATCTGTTACAAGCAAATTTAGGAAATTTGCTTAGTATATCTGGTATCTTATTTTCATTAATAAGATATCTTGACATGTCACATAGGTTATTATTACTGTCTGTCTCTGTATTCCTCAATAATGTGACAATTAAGCACATAGTGTTTCAAGAGAGTGACCATATGCCTGATCACCATAATTTACATTTAGTTTGATCATCATCTGTGTGTCTCCCAAACTGCCAGAAGTACTTGTAACCAAGCCTAAGCCTGGCCACTACAACATCAGTCAGTCTGTTCACATTGCAAGTTGCTCCATAAACATACTTATCTACGTTCATGTTATCATAGTGGGTTATAGATCTACTCAGGCTTCTAAATGCATTCCTAAACAATCATCTTCATTATTTACTTCTCTCCTAATATTATTCCTAATGCTAGACACAGTTATACAAAGTTATATTCTACGTTCTCCTTCTGGATACTCTTCTTGGCTAACATATCAACTTTATCATGAAGGAGTAATCCAATGTGTGATGGGATCCATAGCAATTGTACATTAATTCCTTTGTCCCTAATTTTTGAGTATCTATACCTGGCTTTCCCCAATGAGCATGTTGTTGGAGTCATTATATGAGCCAAGAGCCTTCAATGATGACATAGAATCAGTAATGATGATAGAGTCAAGCTCAGTGTCATAGGTTAGCTTTAGCGCCATTAGGATTGCAAACAATTCAGTTTGCAGTGTAGACGCCCAGTTGTTAATTCTTATGCCTAACTCAACAAATTTATTATCGTTCTTAACTAGGGAGGTGGCAACAAGAGCAGATGCAGCCCTGCCAGAAGACTCCTGTTTAGATCCATCAGTGTATATAAACTTGGATAACTTATTACTACCAGCTAGGCGAAAAATTTCTTCTTGAGCAGTTGCACTAACAAGAGATTTAAGGAAGGGATTACTAGCAATGAGCTTCTGGGAGGGACTTGTAGGTATGTGATATTAAATGAACACATCTTCCATGGAGGGGTGAAATGCTCTTGTTGCCTACAGTGATACAATTCAGGGCAGGTTATAAAACTTAATGCAATTGCACGTTTTCACAATCCATTTAGATCTGTGTGTATTTACCTCTAGACACTTGGTAAGATTCACTGTGACAGTGTCTGGTTCGTTTCTCAACATTTTTACCGAGTACAGTGTTAATTTCAACAATCCTATCACTGATACTAGAAATACCAAGCTCCTTCCTCATGTTAAGAACTTTTGTAGATCTGGGACAGCCAAGAATAGTCCTGAGAGCTTCATTTTGCATTAACTCCAAGGGTCGGAGGGAACTTTCTCTAGCTAATATCAACATGGAGCAGCATAATCAATTAAGGACCTAACATAGGCTATGTACATCATTCTCACGATTCTCACATTAGCACCATAGTTGGGGTTGTAGCCAGCAACAGCTTTGAGAGCATTTAGCCTAGCTTTACATTTCTTGTTTAGTTGTGGTATAGTGGATTTGTTAAAGGGTACATCTACACCAAGATATCTGTAAGTTTTAACGTAGCTAATGATTTCACCCTGCAAATAGATGGGTGGGGGATGTCGTTTGCTTGTTAATATCTTTGTTTTTAGAGGAAGATATTATGAGGCCTAGTCGATTACAAATTGCTTGAACTTCATTAAGAATGGTATTCATTTTCTTATGCCCTGTTGTATGGATCATGATATCATCAGCATAGCTTATAGCTATATGTTTAGGTGAGGCAGGTAGAGCATTTAGGAGAGCATTAATCAGAATATTAAATAGCATGGGACTAAGAACTCCTCCCTGCGGTGTACCTAAAGACATTTCTTTAGAATCACTTCTGAAGCCTTGGTAAAGGACAGAGGATACTCTATTTGACAGGTATCCTATTATCCAGCAGAGTAAGCTACCACCAATATTCATTTGGCTAGTTTTATGTAGTATAACGGTTCTGTTTGCAATATCAAATGCAGATTTTAGATCAAGAAAAGTGGTAAAACTAGTAGAGGGGTGTGCAGTGAGAAAGGTGGAAATACAGTTCTGCACACTTTTACCTTTCATGAACCCATAGAGGTAGGGGGAAAGTTGATGTTTGATTCTGTAGTACAATCTGTTAAGCATCATTCTTTCAAAAGTTTTGCAAAGACAACTAGTTAAGGAGATCGGCCTAAATGTATCAGGCTGTTGGGGCTTAGGGATAGGCACAATGAGACTATTGGTCCAGGAAGTAGGAAGAACCCCCTCAATGTAACTGAGATTATACAGTGCCAACAAAGGGTTATCAGGCCTTAGAGTTCTGAGAATATCATAGGTTATACCATCCTCTCCAGGAGCAGTTGATCGACCTTTGGTTAATGCATTATCTAATTCATACTCGGTAAAGAGGCAATCACTCTCATCAATATTTTGGCTCATAAAATTAATCAGTTTCAACATTTCTTCAGAAGTACTCTCTAAATTTTTTCTAATATGAGATGGAAGGCTTTCATGCCTGGATGTTTTGGACCAGTCATTTATGAGGTCATTTGCTTTTTCAAGAGGAAAGGGATGAGCAACATTGCCAGTCTTTTTCCTGGTTATTTTATTTATACCTTTCCAAGCCAAACTCAAAGGGGTGGACCTATTTAATCCACTAACAAACTGTTCCCATTCCTGTTGCCTAAGCAAACCATAAAAACACAAATAACTCACTTTAGAGGAAGTACCAAAAAAATCATGTACGATGCCATCTAACAACTATCCCTCAAATTTTAAATGGAAGCCAGGCTATTTTTCGCTTACTTTAGTCAACATTTCTATTTGTGTACTACTTATAAATTTTTCCTGCCATGGTAATTTGACTTTCATTTTCTTATACATGCCCTTAAACTGATTAACACGAAACAGAAGGAACTAGAGGAGATGGAAAGCGAGATGCTGGAACGAGAAGAGGCTCAGAAAGAGACCATCAAAGCGCTCAACAGAAGACTGGAGGAAGCTTCCCTCAACCTGACTGAACACCAGCAAGCCTTGGCCCTCTGTCAGGTTACTAACTTAAATCATTAGATGAACGATACAAGACCTACAAACTGATAATTAAGGCATAAGTGCGACACCTGAGTATCTTAGATTTGAAGTCTATTGACTGCACGTGTGTCAAGAGGGCAACAGTTTACCAGTAAACTAATATTTGAGTAAACTTGACTCCCTAAAAAAATAGGGACTCAAGTAAACTCTTAATGTATCTACACTCAGAAATACACACTTCTCGGGGCGCACACACACACACACACACACACACACACACACACACACACACACACACACACACACACACACACACACACACACACACACATACACACACACACACACACACACACACACACACACACACACACACACACACACACACACACACACACACACACACACACACACACACACACACACAGGTCTCGGTATATACAACTTGTTTATTAATTAAAATAGTATTCATTTTGCCTCTGTCTATAAATACTATGTCTGTAGTAATACTATGTCTATAATAAACTTTCATTTAGTCTCAATTTTTCGATCACATTTCGTATGTAGCTACAAGCCGACAAGTGAGTGACGAGGCATAAAAGTATTAGCCTTTTATAATATATCTCAATGGAGCTCTATCATCGTATTGAAGCTCACTTTGAGCTTTGCAACTCCTATAAAGTTCCCGTTATATAAAGGCTAGGCACCTTTGTCTTTTATCTAGCATGTTATCACAGGAATAGCTCAAATTAGAATCATCCATTAACTAACCCTCATGTACACAGTCTCAGCTTCGTGAGAGAGAGAAGGAGTTGAGGATGGAGCAGCAGAAGGTGGCTCTTCTTGAGGAGGAGGTGGAGGAGGAGGAGCAGAAGGTAGTTCATCTAGAGAATGAAGTGAAGGTGGAACAGGAGAAGGTGGCCCTTCTGGAAGAAGAAGTAGAGGAGTATCAGCAGAAGCTGGACCGTCTGGAGAAGGTGGAAAGTGGAAATCGCAGGCAGGATGCCCAAACTCACTCCAAAATCACTGCTCTGGTAAGTCTCGTGTTAAGTTGATAAAGTGGAACCTTTGTGTTCGGAATTAATTGGCTCCTAGAGTGTTCTGAATATTGAATTTTCTGAACACGATCATTTTTTCCACAGGAAATAATGTAAATTGGATTAATTCGTTCCAGACCCCGAGAGTTACTCTTCACAAACTTTTTTAAGTCAGAATATTGGTTAATTAAACTTGTAAAAGAACATGTACAAGCAAGAAATCATACATGAACCATGCAAGAATTTTGAGTCCTGTTCCCACAGTAGCACTTTTTATTGCGCCTTTATTTTTTATAATATAAAATACGGTAGATGTTGACAAGCCATATTCCTTGGCCAGGTCAACAAGACGTATTATCCATTTTCGTGTTCTGAAATAAGTTCCTATTTTAAGTTCAGTTGTGGTTCTTACAGCTTTCATTTTAGGTTTTTAACACTGTTCTTATTCTGGGCGATGATCACTTATTTTCAATAATAAAATAAAAATAACACGAAGTTACAAAAAATAAATAACTGAATCACAAGATGTCAAACAGCAGCGTCGTTCACGTTGTTTTTCTTCGATTTTTTTCCTAATACTGGATTCTACGAATAAAGTGCATCCGAATACAGAGGTTCTACTGTATTACTATTATTTAAATATAGCCGTAGCTAAAAACACATTTCAAAACATAAATCATTATAAACTACGTATATTATTATATTAAACAGCTTCACTTTCCCAGAATTAGTAATAATCTGTTACCTATAAATATTAGGAGAATTACATTAACGTAAAACACTATAATGAAAATATATAATATGTTTGTCAGTTGAGGAGTGTGTACGCTAGAATACAATAAGTTTCAATAAGATTGGTAACCAATATACAAACTTGTCATAGCACTCACAGATCCAGCACCAGGAAGAGAGAATACAGGAACTATTGATAAATGAGAAACAGATTAAGCAAACCAACGATGACGTAAATAAGAAAATCATTCATTTATATGAGAAAACTGAAGAATATAAAGAAATAGTCTGCAATCTTCAGGTAAGTTCATATTTAAAAACAGTTATTACATATCTGTAACTCTCAGTGATTATTTTTCTGTATTTTTTTGTGTACTGGTAAGTGTTTTGTAATTAAAAACAGAACGTGTAACCTTAATTTTTAAGGGGTGGACCGGTAAGCCAACGGAAGGCTTCTGTCAGATGACCAAAAGCTCCAGCGGGGGGGTCGACATATGACTAAGACCCGGGTCAGGAAACACTTGTCCTGTCTCCTGACAAACCTACCTGAATTAAAAATGTTTGTGGTTATATCGTTGAATTTTTTTAATGCTTTTAGTGTTGATTTTATCAATTAAAATAGACGATGGATAGTACCCATTAATTTAGTAGATAACCTCAGTTTTTTTTTTATCCCTTTTATATTTAAAAGTATCACCCTCATCGCCACCTCTACTATTATAATTACTATTATTACAATCACAGACCTTCCGTCACAGTCACAGACCTTCCCTCACAATCTCAGACCTTCCTTCACAATCTCAGACCTTCCATCACAATCTCAGACCTTCCCTCAATCTCAGACCTTCCCTCACAATCTCAGACCTTCCCTCACAATCACAGACCTTCCCTCACAATCACAGACCTTCCTTCACAATCACAGACCTTCCTTCACACTCAGAGACCTTCCTTCACAATCACAGACCTTCTCTCATAATCACGAATATCCTCAAGCACATACAAGTTCCCTAACTCTTACACATCCTTACGTCATTAAGAACAAGATTACTTCACAGACCAGCCATCAGTATTTCTACTGACTGAATTACTGCTCCACAGGGAGATCTGGTTAACAAGGAGAAGGAGCTTGAGGAGAAAGAGGTTGCACATCACCTGACAGTGGCCAGCCTCAATGCTGAAATTAATTCTCTGGAGGAGAGAGTCAGCCACCTCCAGGTTGGTCCATTCTTCAAGTTTGGCTCACCAGAAGCAATGAACACTGCTACGAACATATGAAGAGATAACACCGAACATATGTTATTATTTAACGTGTGAAAAACGTTAATGTACTGTAGCTTCAGGATTCTCTGTTTAAAATTGTTGAACACAGTTGAGTTTACAAGCTATGAGTTCTTATCCTACCATGGGTTATTTTCAAGCCTAGCACCTGGTAAGTTATAATAGCACCCTCCCTTGGTAAGACAAAATGTCTTTGGTAGTAAAATTTTTATGACTCCGTGTGTGTGTGAATTAATATTTGTGCGTACGTGTATAATGTATGCATGATTCCCTATTCACACATGTATGTATATGAGTCTACATATGCAAGTGTCTGTCGCTGTTTGTGTGTATATTCTGTATGAATGTATCACATTACCTAAAAGTATCCTAAGTAAGTTTAGGCGACAGCTTAATGGACCACACATATAAAGCTTACTAAAATAAGGCATTAACCAGGAACAACGGGAGAAGCTGCAAGTGTTGCAAGAGCAGGACAAGACAAACAGACAGACCATCGCTACTCTTACCCAACAATTGAACCTTGTTGCTCGCAGGCAAGACGAGGATAATAACAAAGTTCTGAATGATCAGGTAGGGCAATCTAGAAGGTTGAAAATATAACGTAAGTTAGCGCAGAACTTAGTAAATATAGCGAGACCTTTGTAATAACACAGTAAGTCAGAGTAGTAGTACATATAAGCTAGCGTTGAAAGCTGTCTTACAACGTAAGTTAGTGTAGAACGTTGTAAATGTAACGTAAGCTATCATACAGCGTTGTAAATAAAAAAAATAGCGTAGACCGTTTTAAGTATAACGTAAGATTGTGTAGAACGTTGTAAATGTAACGTAAGACAGCGTAGAACGCTCTGCATAAATAACCTTGCTCTTCCTACATCAGAACGAACTGAAGGAGAGAATGAGAGAACTACTGGAACAGGAGAAACTCACCAAGAAGAACATGGAAGAACTTAAGAACAGTATCTACCACATGTCTCTCACACTCGCAGAACAGGAGAACGATATACAAACTTATAAGGTACCATATATTAAATTATTAAGGAATTACGTTAATTAGTTAATGGGGTTTAAATCCTACCGACTACAGTATGGTTATTGTTAAAGACTCCACGTAAGCTTCTCAACACCAGTCAAGAATAAATACGTTAAAGCTATACAACACCGACAGGTTGATAAGCAAGACACATGTGCAACAGTTAGATAATTTTCTTCCCGAAATGTTTCTCTGTTTCAGTCGAGTAGAGTCCTACTGACTCCTCGACTAAAGAAGCCTACTGTGCAGTCGAAACGTTTCGGAATAAAGATACCTAACCGTTGTATATGTGTCTTATCAACCAGTCGAGATACTTTAATTTCTAAAATAGGGATTAAAACAAACTTGTCATATATACGCTGAGGGAAACTCCTCACTCAGGGTACTTATCTTGTGAGTTACGAATTTTAAGGGATTTCTATTCTTGAGGAGTTATGTACCTTAGAGTTTTATATCTCTCGAAATTATATACATGAAAGAGCCAATCTAAGAATCATATTGACACATTTTAATTATATTTAAAATTTAAAGAGCAATATGCATATTAATTTTAAAATTTACGTTGTTTCATGGAAATATTACTCTAAGTTCTCATAAATTCGATCTCAGAATTTTCATAAGGGATTAAGCATTTAAAATTTCAGCACTGACAAACCGCATTTTCAAAATTTTCACTGCGTTTAGCGGATCTTTTTTCAATTGATTAATTTTTAAGACTTGATGTAGTTTTTTCTTAATTTCCTTGAATATTTCTTAGTATTAAATGGATTATATTTCAGCTGCTCATGTACGTATCTTTTGTTCTGATATGACAGAATAATAATTCAAAACAAGTATGTCTTCTATTAAAGTTATGGCGACTGTTTTTATATATCAACCAAAAAGCCTATGATCAAATTTTGTACATTTTTAATAGTTTTCTTTATTTATTAAATGCAAACCCTTTCCACCGGTACACACACAGGTGAGGTTACTCGACAAGGAGAGAGACTTGGAAGAAGCACAAACTTTACATCAACACACTGAGAACACTCACAAGGAGCACACCCAGGGTCTCACAAGAACACTTGAGGAAGTGCAGCTCCAGCTCAGAGAACAGCTGGAGAAGAACAAGAACATCATGGAAGACCATGAAAGAAGCATGCAGTTCATGTCAGACAAACTCAAAATACATGAAGAGGCAATTGAAACTTATAAGGTAAGGATACGGTGTAGGACTTGTGTAAACTTCAAGATGGAGGTGCCTTGATCCTCGGATCAAACTTGATTGTCTCCCATCCTTTAGGAGCTGTATGGCCCTATACAAGCTGAGAGCTTCCCGAAGAATGTAATGACAGCGTTGTGCTGTTCACCTTCCCCAGGTCCAGACAGGTGTGTGTGTATTCACCTAATTGTGGTTGCAGGGGTCGATTCATAGTTCCTTACCCCACCTCTTCACTGGTCGCTACTAGGTCACTCACTACCTGCTCCCTGAGCTTTATCATACTCCTTCTTAAAGCTATGTATGCATCCTGCCTCCACCGTCTCACTTTTCACACTATTCCATTCCCTGACAACTCTGTGACTGAAGAAATACTTCCTAACATCTCTGTGATTTATCTGAATCTTCCACTTGCAGTTGTAACCCATTGTCGCTGTGTCCCATCTCTGGAACATCTATCTCTGTCCACCTTGTCGATTCCTCTCAGTATTTTATATGTTGTTACCATGTCCCCCGTCCCTCTTGTCCTTCAGTGTTGTCAGGTCAGTTTCCATTAACCTCTCCTCGTAGGGCATGCCCCTTAACTCTGGGACTAGTCTCGTTGCAAACCTTTGCACTTTCTCTTATTTCCTGACGTGCTTGCCCAGGTGTGGGTTCCAAACTGGTGCTGCATACTCCAATACAGGCCTGAGGTACACGGTGTACAGCGTCCTGAACGAATCCTGACTGAGATGTATGTGTGTGTGTGTGTGTGTGTGTGTGTGTGTGTGTGTGTGTGTGTGTGTGTGTGTGTGTGTGTGTGTGTGGTGTGTGTGTGTGTGTGTGTGTGTGTGTGTGTGTGTGTGTGTGTGTGTGTGTGTGTGTGTGTGTGTTGTGTGTGCGTGCGTGCGTGTGCGTGTGTGTGTGCGTGTGCGTGTGCGTATGTGGTGTGCGTGTGTGTGCGTGTGTGTGTGTGTGTGTGTGTGTGTGTGTGTGTGTGTGTGTGTGTGTGTGTGTGTGTGTGTGTGTGTGTGTGTGTGTGTGTGTGTGTCTGTGTGTGTGCGCGAATACATGAAAAGGTGTGTTAACAGAGTCATCATTGAAACTTGGCAGTTATTGTAGAAATTACTACACCCAGTGAATCAGTGAACCTGTTATAAGTGGAACACTGGACCAGTTATGGGTGGAGGACTGAACCTGTTCCTTTCACATGAACATTAGAATTGAGCCCACATTAACTTATTCAGTGAGGTTTAAAGCCTATGGACTAACAAGGGTTATCAAGACTACGTATCACCTGTTCACCACTAGTCAAGAATATTGCAATCCCTAAAACAGACATTAAACTCTGAGCATAAATACACTGAGAAATTCACATCTCGTTGTACATTAAATATCTCAGTTGATGCAATAGACAATGTAAACGTCTGCTGGAACAATGACGAGGCTGTTACCTCACATAACTCTTTCACAATTAATAATGCACATTTTTGGTGAACTCACAGAGAAGGTTGAGTGAGAGAGAGAGGGAGGTAGAGGAGGGAGAAGAGGAGAGACACAAGAGGATTGCTGCTCTGAGGAAAGAGGTGGAGAGTCTGTCACAAAAACTGGATGAAGAAAGACTCACAATATCCACTCTCAAGGTTGGTCACCTATGTAATTCATCATTGTTTACATTTTCTCTTTATAAACAGGAAGGTTATTGTAACAGGAGAACCCAGGAAAACAATGCACTGTGATGAATTTCAGTTGAGGTCGTAGTTTAGATCCTCCTCCAGGCTACGACCCACAACAGTCCACCAACTCCAAGGTACCTATTTACTGCTAGATAACAGGGACAAAGGGTGCTAGAAAACTTACCCATATAGTTGCCGCCGGACCAGGTTGCGACCCGGGCCCTTTCGGTTTTAAGAAGATTGCGCTAAGCCTGCACTAGTTTAGGTTACTCCAGTACCTTAACAATGGTATACTACCGCTCACAATGTTGCCGCCCACAACAATCCAGTAGCATCTAGGAGCGTCAGGTGCCATGATACTCATATTTCTCACCTTGCCTGTGACTCGAAACCGAGATCTTTTAGTTATTAGCAGAAAGCTCTGACCACTAGGCTTACCACTGTTGTATTGTAATGCTTGTTGACTATTTTTATTCCCACCAGAGTTAAAGGTTAAATCTAGGTTAATCTAATCTAATCTAAATTAACGTTTACGTATAGTTAACCATTATTAACGAGATAACATAAAGGAAGGGGCGGCTTACGTCCCGTAGCTCAGTTTGTAGCGCACTCAACTCACACATTGAGGTTCGTAGTTCGATCCCCGGTACGGGTGGAAACATTAGGGCGTGTTTCTTTAAGACACCTGCTGTCCCTGTTCACCTAGCAGCAAATAAGTACCTGGGTGTTAGTCGATGGTGTGGGTCGCATCCTGGGTACAAAATTAGCCTAAGTTGTCCAAAATGCTCTGCACAAAAAGGTGCTTTCTATATAGTATTATCACTGATGTCAGTTAGGTCTGTACAAGTTGTATCATGTAGGAAAAAAATATTATTGTTATTATTATTATTATTACGTCTGGCAGCTCGTGATACAACGCGATGGGTTGTTATAGTTGTAAAACTAGATATAAAAGAAATCATTATGCTTTTATTTGGTGTTGGTCAGAGTGAGCAGCAGGAGAGAGAGAGACAGCTGCTAGAACAGGAGAGACTGAGCAAGAAGAACATAGAAGAACTTAACAAGAACATTGAGCAGCTGTCTGACAAGCTCAGTGAACAAGACGCCACTGTTGAGGCCTTACAGGTGTGTCTCTTCCCTTCAAGCAAATGGTGTGTGTGTGTGTGTGTGTGTGTGTGTGTGTGTGTGTGTGTGTGTGTGTGTGTGTGTGTGTGTGTGTGTGTGTGTGTGTGTGTGTGTGTCTTGGTTTTAATGAGCAAAGGTAAGCTATCCTTACCTTCATTATATTTTTGCTGATACTTTCCTCATATCATAGCTGATACCTCTCTCTTATCATAGCTGACATCTTCCTCATATCATAGCTGATATCTTCCTCATATCATAGCTGACATCTTCCTCATATCATAGCTGACATCTTCCTCATCATAGCTGACATCTTCCTCATATCATAGCTGACATCTTCCTCATATCATAGCTGACATCTTCCTCATATCATAGCTGACATCTTCCTCATACATAGCTGACATCTTCCTCATACATAGCTGACATCTTCCTCATATCATAGCTGACATCTTCCTCATATCATAGCTGACATCTTCCTCATATCATAGCTGACATCTTCCTCATATCATAGCTGACATCTTCCTCATATCATAGCTGACATCTTCCTCATATAGCTGATATGGTTTATAATAAAAGGCTGACCGCGCACAGTAACTGGGCCTCCCCAAACCTCCCTCATTTGTCAATCACTTCCTAAGTCTCACTACTCAGTACATCTACGGAGGAATGCTATACACACCAGCCATCAGTATGTCCACTGATTGAATCACTACTCCACAGGAAGAGTTGGACAGCAGGGAGAGAGAGGTGCAGGAGAGGCAGGGAGAACACCAGCAGGCTGTGACAGCCCTCACGGAGGAAGTGAAAGTTCTGGAGCAGAAGTTGGACCACCTCCAGGTTGGTCCGGCACAATGAAATATATAAAATATAATTTAGTAGAAAATACAGACGATTAAGTATATTTTCACGTCCTCAAAAACAAATCATATACACTCACGCAGACAATCTAGTGGCCTGACTCCCACGCAAATAGATATACACAAATACAGCTAAGTACAGACACCCACACATATATATACACACACCACACAGCAACAACGCCATATGAATATAGAAAATGTCCAATATGATACCGTTTCTGTTATAATTCCGTTGTTAGCACATCCAGAGGGGTAACTGGTGGTGTTGACTGACAGAGGCAGCAGGAGGAGAGGCAGGAGGAGGCGAGGCAGCAGCAACACACACACGAAGCTCTCATCACTGACCTCAACGACAAACTGGAGGAGAGTTGCCGGAGGCTGCACGAGGCTCAGAACAACATCTCCTCATATCAGGTCAGACAAATGCTCACTCAAGCACATAACGAATTAAGCTGTTTTTTCTTAGCAACGTTTCGCCCTCGGTGCGGTTTGTCGAGAATTACACTCTGAGACTTTGTCCTGGTCAGACAAATGTTATGTGTTGATAGCTTGTTATCACGTTTTATGATAATGTTATTTAGACTTCCAACCTATTGCTTGTTTGGGGATTTTCGCCCCACCCCGGCCCCCGCTACCTGGTCCAACACCTGGTAGATAACCTGGTCAGTAAAGTTGTTGGTGCTAGCACCACACTGTCCATCACAGACTGCACCACAGCCCTTACGAACAGAAATGGCTCCAGGAACTTGCAAAGGTCCTTTTTGAATGTAGTTAGAGGTTTGTTGGCAATTTTTCCCTTGATTCCCATTCGATTAAAATTATGACACAGCCAGTAAATTAGCCTACAAAACAATATATATATATATAAATATATATATATATATATATATATATATATATATATATATATATATATATATATATATATATATATATATATATATATATATTATATATAATATATATATATATATATATATATGTCGTGCCGAATATGTAAAACTGGTCAATTAGCAAGAACTCATTTAAAATTAAGTCCTTTCTAAAATTTTCTCTTATACGTTTAAAGATATATTTTTTTCATGAACGTTGATGTAAAAATTTATAATTTTGCACCAAAAGGAACTTAGAAAACTTACCTAACCTTATTATAACATGCGCAATTTATTTTAGCCTAGCCCAACTAAATATATTTTAGATTTGTTTACAGTAATTTAATACTGAACAAACACAGTGAAATATATTTTTTTCGTTAGGTTCAGAATGATTTTGGCGAAATTATTGCATACACAAATTTTCGCTTGTCCTATATGGCAAGATGAACGTTGCTATTTAAGCCAAGATGGCAAGTTCTGCCTATTCGGCACGACATTATATATATATATATATATATATATATATATATATATATATATAATCTCCAGTAATTCAGTAGTCATGAGGTCAGTGGGGTTGCCAGCTTTTCACTCTAAAATCTGCTTATCGCAGGGTTTGAAGAAATCAGTTTGGAAAATGGTTATCAAGTATTTTTCTGGGTTACAACTTACTCTTCATACATTACATTGCGAATTGGAGCGAGGATCTATCGATGGAAAAGTTTTGCCTTGCTGCTGAGAGACCTTGAAGTTATGTAACCTAAAATGAATTTCAAACTGCATTTCCTTAGAAGCGACCAGAAGTCACAACCTAGCGAAGTGCAGATAGTCACTTGTGCGCAGTTGCAGGATTTTTTTTTTTTTTCAGATTGGAGGAAATGTTTTTTACCGACAACATCAAGACAGAAACACAAGTTCACTCGAGAAACTTTTATTGAGATGATGTGTTTCGCTATGTGTATATAGAGAGAAACTTCACCCACAAGAAAGCTTGACTTACGAGTTTCTGGAACTGCAGATTAGATTTAGTTTTTCACTTTGCAAGTTTTTCTGTCACTGGCACCAGATTTTTTTTTTCTGCTCCAACCAGATTCAGCTGAGGAACAAGGACAAGCAGCTGGAGCAACGGGAGAAGGCCAGCCAGCAGACCGTCGATCTGTTGAAGGAGAAAGTGGAGAGCCTCTCACACTTGTTGGAGGAGGAGGCAAAGAAAGTGAAAGCCGCTAAGGTTAGTCAACACTAGCCATGCCCAAGATTTCATTTTGCACTCTTGTATTTACATGCTAAGAACTACTATCCTACCTCGGCTCATTTACAGGCTCAGAGCTGTTACCCTACCTCGGCTCATTTACAGGCTAAGAGCTATTACCCTACCTCGGCTCATTTACAGGCTAAGAGCTATTACTCACGAAATCGTAATGACACGATTGCAAACAAACCATACCACGGGTGGGTATAGAACCCGCGATCAGAGTCTCAAAACTCCAGACCGTCGCGTTAGCCACTGGACCAACTAGCCACAATAAGATTCATCCAACTAGGTATATTTCTACACCATAGGAAGGTTAGCATAGGCACCACTGTGACCACAAATGCAAGTTTTTACAGACGAATCTCCAGCTAGCGTGGCCGTGACGAACTCGAGCTCAAGTCCCCTCAAAGCCGTTAACATGACTCACGAAATCGTAATGACACGATTGCAAACAAACCATACCAAGGGTGGGGTTTGATCTCGCGGTCAGAGAGTCTCAAAACTCCAGACCGTCACAATCGTGTCATTCGATTTCGTGAGTCATGTTAACGGCTTTGAGGGGACTTGAGCTCGAGTTCGTCACGGCCACGCTAGCTGGAGATTCGTCTGTAAAAACTTGCATTTGTGGTCACAGTGGTGCCTTCCTATGGTGTAGAAATATACCTAGTTGGACGAATCTTATTGTGGCTAGCTGGTCCAGTGGCTAACGCGACGGTCTGGAGGTTTGAGACTCTCTGACCGCGGGATCAAACCCCACCCGTGGTATGGTTTAAGAGCTATTACCCTACCTCGGCTCATTTCAATGCCTGTTCTTATCTAAGTTATACTACCAAATCCCATTCTGCCACTTACTACAGCCGACTAGGAATGCACGTACTTATTTACTGCTGAAGTGATCGAGTACAGCAGTTGTAAGGAGACTTACCTATGTCTTCACCTGCCCAAGAGTGTGCTTGCAACCTGGCGAGGTACGTAGACGGATGGTGTTTCTGATGTTAATTTCCAGGTGTTGGAGGAGGAGTTGGGACGACTGCAGGACCAAAATACTGCCGACACAAAGACCATCTCCATCCTGAGGGAACAACTCATTCAGCTGACTCGTATGATGAATGAGGAGAAAGACAAGTCTCAGGACCTCCAGGTATGGCATCACAGACGCGCGCGCGCGCGCGCGCGCGCACACACACACACACACACACACACACACACACACACACACACACACACACACACACACACACACACACACACACACACACACACACACACACACACACACACGGGACCAGGAGTTATGAATCGACCCCTGCAACCACAAATAGGTGAGTACACAGAAAGTATTTAAAATAGTATACTGATTTTTTCCCGTTTTCATTGTCGTGTTCTTCCATATCAGAAATTAAACTCTTTATGCTATTACTCTTACAGATTTATTTACTTTCAAAATTTTCCATTAACATTTTTTATTCTAATACTTAAGCCTATATACTGGTATTACCTCTTACATGGTAATAAAATATAAATTTTACATATGATCTTCTGATATCACAACTTTGAATATCACATCAGCAGATAGATATATATCAATCAATCCCTGTACGTCAATCCACGCGAAAGGAATAGTGCAGAGTGCGGCATAAGTTCAACTAAATATTAGCGTTTAAGATGTGACTCTAATCATGAGAGCCATTCACAAGTTGCCAGGTAGACACTATTATGCCAATTTCTTCAATAAACCTGGCAAATTAGGACATACACAGCCCAACACAACATCAAACCTTTCACCGAGTGGCATCAGCTTTGAAGCCGAACTGATGAGACTTGTTCCATTAATCGTGCCCTAACTCCTGCCTAACTCGTTCCATTAACCGTGCCCTAATTCATCCCCTTATAATGTTTATTGTCCTCTCTGAGGTTGACGGTTCCCACTTTCCACCAGAGGTTAAACTTCCCTATATATAATGTATAATACACACATACACATATATTGCCCATAATCGTAAATGTAAAAATACTTTTCACAAACACAGTGTGTTCTTTGTCAGGCGAGCAATTTATATTGATGCTGGACATGTATGCGTGTGTAAGATTTATGTGGGACCTGTTTATGTGAGGTGTTGTCACCTTCTCTGAGTGAGGTGTTGTCACCTTCTCTGAGTGAGGTGTTGTCACCTTCTCTGAGTGAGATGTCACCCCAGAGTTTAACTTATAAAATGTAGTTCATTTGTGGCCACAGAACAACTGAATTTGATTGACATCTTCGAGATGTTCAGACGGAACATCTTAGGATTAAGACTCGTGTCAGGACGTATTTCCTGACATGAGTTAATCGAAACCTTTTCTTCGTATTCCTCTGCAGATGTGTGTAACCACATGCAAGCGCTCAGGTTTTGTTTCTTAGTTTCATTGTGATATGTTTTTCACATACTACGTCTGTTTATATAAATATACGTATTATTAATCCTAGGCAGTAGGTTGGTAGACAGCAGTCACCCAGGGAGGTACTACCGTCCTGACAAGTGAGTGTAAAACGAAAACCTGTAATTGTTTTACGTGATGGTAGGATTGCTGGTGTCTTTTTTCTGTCTCATAAACATGCAAGGTTTCAGGTACGTCTTGCTACTTCTACTTACACTTAGGTCACACTACACATACATCTACAAGCATATATTTATATATACACACCTCTCTGGGTTTTCTTCTATTTTCTTACTGGTTCTTGTTTTTGTTTATTTCCTAATATCTCCATGGGGAAGTGGAGCAGAATTCTTCCTTTGTAAGCCATGCGTGTTGTAAGAGGCGACTAAAATGCCGGGAGCAAGGGGCTAATAATCCCTTCTCCTGTACACATTACTAAAGTTAAAAAGAGAAAGTTTTTTTTTTGGGGGGGGGGCCACCCTGCCTCGGTGGGATATGGCTGGTTTGTTGAGAGAAGAAGAAATGTTATTAATGTGCATTTGTGTTGCTTTGTGCAGAAGAAGAAAGAAAAGAGGATCGAGGAGTTAGTGAAACAAGGTGAGACCTTCAAGAAGATCATCAACGACCTTAACAATAACGCAGAAGCCAAGAATCACAAGATGAGAGAGTACGAACAGATTATCTCATCGGATCAGGTAACATTAATTTTTTATTGTCTCATTTACATACGTCGACTGTTGATAGTGTTTTGTTTTCTTGTTTTGCACTTTGGGTTCTTAGTCTTGTGAACATAAGGATGAACCTTTAATGTTATGGTACGTAATTGTTCTTTGATTATATTAAACCTTTGAAGTCTCTAGCCTGATAATACCAGCGGGTGACACTGTCACCTTGCAGGAATTTGTGAAACCCGTGATGGCTAGCGTAAATATCTAATGGTTATAATTATAACCATAATTTTTAAAGGGGTGGACCGGTAAGCTAGTGGAAGGCCTCGGTCAGATGACCAAAAGCTTCAGCTGCGGGTCATCATGTGATTAAGACCCGCGTCAGGAAACACTTGTCCTGTTTCCTGACAAACCTTACCTACCTACCATGATGGCTGCCGAGGTGGTCATTAATCCTCCATGGAAACTAAATATCGTAGATCAACATGACTATTGAGCATTTTAATCGAATTTAGTACTATTTTTTTTAGTTAAAGCAAGTTACGTTTTGTATTGTCAAGAAAATTGGGTTTACCTGGAGAGAGTTCCGGGGGTCAACGCCCCCGCGGCCCGGTCTGTGACCAGGCCTCCTGGTGGATCAGAGCCTGATCAACCAGGCTGTTGCTGCTGGCTGCACGCAAACCAACGTACGAGCCACAGCCCGGCTGATCAGGAACTGACTTTAGGTGCTTGTCCAGTGCCAGCTTGAAGACTGCCAGGGGTCTGTTGGTAATCCCCCTTATGTGTGCTGGGAGGCAGTTGAACAGTCTCGGGCCCCTGACACTTATTGTATGGTCTCATAACGTGCTAGTGACACCCCTGCTTTTCATTGGGGGATGTTGCATCGTGTACATAATAGAATGTGTTTACCTCTTTAACCTTGATCTATCTGATAGATCAAGGCCAAGGGACTGAACACTTCTTAACTCTTTAGGGCTAAGGAACTGAACACCTTGAAATTATCTTTCAACTTCTTTAATTGTCGCCAGTGTAAAAAAATATCACCTCTGTTGTGCGGGTGAAACGTTGCCGCAATAAAAGATGCCCAAGTGTTGCATATGTTTCACATTCATCAACTTCTCGGTATTGAATGCTATTAATGTATGATCTAATACTGTGTTGACGTGAATCTCTGTCACCGCCACCACCACCGGGCAGCTACAACTGAGAGAGGCCAGAAGACAGCTGGAGGAACACAAAGCCTCGATGACCCAGCACACAGTGGCTCAACTGAACGAGAAACTCAACCTTCTATCACGGAACCTCATCAGTGTGCAGGTAGGTTCGACCTGTATGGCACACGCTCCTTACTTAACGTTAGGACAGTACACAAATAACCCAGCACATAGGAGATTGAAAGTTAAGATAGCGTTTCGGTTATGATAACTTGTCTATATTTTATAGCATTTTCAACACATTCGTGTATTGTTCCAGGCACAGTATTGCGCCTTCTGATTCTTTCCTAACATTAGGTCAGCCAACACCCGTGTCAACAAGGTATAAACACCGAGAGGTGTCATGTTTCTTGGTGTATACATGCTGAAACTTTACGTTGATCCATATTTTACAGTTTAAGGTATTCTTGACTGTTGGTTAAGAGGTTACATGCTGCATTACCAGTCCTTGTGTGTCGATACGTTTGAAACCCAACTAGTCACTAAGAAGGGAACTCGCCTCAGAGCCGCTAGGTTTTCGTCCCTAAAAAAAAAAAAACACCAGTTGAAATAGTGAAATGTCATTACTAATTTCAGATGCATTGATGTAACTTCTTTATGCATTATTTAAAGTAACTTTAGACAATTTAAGCGTATGGAACAGAAGACGGTGTTGGATTACGAAAGATTTCATTCAGAGTGAGGAGGAGGGGCTGTGTAGGTGGACTAGGCATTTAGAGAGGGTAGAGCAGAATAGGGTGAACACGAGAGTGTAAATCCAGAAGAGATGGAAGGAGAGAATGAGGAGGAGGGGCTGTGGAGGTGGACTAGGCATTTAGAGAGGGTAGAGCAGAATAGGGTGAACACGAGAGTGTAAATCCAGAAGAGATGGAAGGAGAGATAGGAGTCATCCCTAGAAATGATATAGTGAGGAGGGTTTTCAGAGGTAGGGGCTTGAGCAACCAGCAGGTATGAGTGAGCTTGTTAGGCGGAAATAAGTGAAGGTAAGTGCTATTTAGAGCTGAGCCGTAAGTTAACATTAGTAAAGGAATTTAGGGATATCTGTTAATCAGACTTGAATCTTGAAGGTGGGAAGTACAGTGCCTGCACTCTGAAGGAAGGGTGAGGATGTTGTAGTCCTGGAGGCAGGAAATAGTGCCTGCACTCTGAAGGAAGGGTGAGGATGTTGTAGTCCTGGAGGCAGGAAATAGTGCCTGCACTCTGAAGGAAGGGTGAGGATGTTGTAGTCCTGGAGGCAGGAAATAGTGCCTGCACTCTGAAGGAAGGGTGAGGATGTTGTAGTCCTGGAGGCAGGAAATAGTGCCTGCACTCTGAAGGAAGGGTGAGGATGTTGTAGTCCTGGAGGCAGGAAATAGTGCCTGCACTCTGAAGGAAGGGTGAGGATGTTGTAGTCCTGGAGGTAGGAAATAGTGCCTGCACTCTGAAGGAAGGGTGAGGATGTTGTAGTCCTGGAGGCAGGAAATAGTGCCTGCACTCTGAAGGAAGGGTGAGGATGTTGTAGTCCTGGAGGCAGGAAATAGTGCCTGCACTCTGAAGGAAGGGTGAGGATGTTGTAGTCTAGAGACAGGAAATAGTGCCTGCACTCTGAAGGAAGGGTGAGGATGTTGTGGTCCTGGAGGTAGGAAATAGTGCCTGCACTCTGAAGGAAGGGTGAGGATGTTGTGGTCCTGGAGGTAGGAAATAGTGCCTGCACTCTGAAGGAAGGGTGAGGATGTTGTGGTCCTGGAGGCAGGAAATAGTGCCTGCACTCTGAAGGAAGGGTGAGGATGTTGTAGTCCTGGAGGCAGGAAATAGTGCCTGCACTCTGAAGGAAGGGTGAGGATGTTGTGGTCCTGGAGGTAGGAAATAGTGCCTGCACTCTGAAGGAAGGGTGAGGATGTTGTAGTCCTGGAGGCAGGAAATAGTGCCTGCACTCTGAAGGAAGGGTGAGGATGTTGTAGTCCTGGAGGTAGGAAATAGTGCCTGCACTCTGAAGGAAGGGTGAGGATGTTGTAGTCCTGGAGGCAGGAAATAGTGCCTGCACTCTGAAGGAAGGGTGAGGATGTTGTAGTCCTAGAGACAGGAAATAGTGCCTGCACTCTGAAGGAAGGGTGAGGATGTTGTAGTCCTAGAGACAGGAAATAGTGCCTGCACTCTGAAGGAAGGGTGAGGATGTTGTAGTCCTGGAGGCAGGAAATAGTGCCTGCACTCTGAAGGAAGGGTGAGGATGTTGTAGTCCTAGAGACAGGAAATAGTGCCTGCACTCTGAAGGAAGGGTGAGGATGTTGTAGTCCTGGAGGTAGGAAATAGTGCCTGCACTCTGAAGGAAGGGTGAGGATGTTGTAGTCCTGGAGGTAGGAAATAGTGCCTGCACTCTGAAGGAAGGGTGAGGATGTTGTGGTCCTGGAGGTAGGAAATAGTGCCTGCACTCTGAAGGAAGGGTGAGGATGTTGTAGTCCTGGAGGTAGGAAATAGTGCCTGCACTCTGAAGGAAGGGTGAGGATGTTGTAGTCCTGGAGGCAGGAAATAGTGCCTGCACTCTGAAGGAAGGGTGAGGATGTTGTGGTCCTGGAGGTAGGAAATAGTGCCTGCACTCTGAAGGAAGGGTGAGGATGTTGTAGTCCTGGAGGTAGGAAATAGTGCCTGCACTCTGAAGGAAGGGTGAGGATGTTGTGGTCCTGGAGGTAGGAAATAGTGCCTGCACTCTGAAGGAAGGGTGAGGATGTTGTAGTCCTAGAGACAGGAAATAGTGCCTGCACTCTGAAGGAAGGGTGAGGATGTTGTAGTCCTGGAGGTAGGAAATAGTGCCTGCACTCTGAAGGAAGGGTGAGGATGTTGTGGTCCTGGAGGTAGGAAATAGTGCCTGCACTCTGAAGGAAGGGTGAGGATGTTGTAGTCCTGGAGGTAGGAAATAGTGCCTGCACTCTGAAGGAAGGGTGAGGATGTTGTAGTCCTGGAGGTAGGAAATAGTGCCTGCACTCTGAAGGAAGGGTGAGGATGTTGTAGTCCTAGAGACAGGAAATAGTGCCTGCACTCTGAAGGAAGGGTGAGGATGTTGTAGTCCTGGAGGTAGGAAATAGTGCCTGCACTCTGAAGGAAGGGTGAGGATGTTGTGGTCCTGGAGGTAGGAAATAGTGCCTGCACTCTGAAGGAAGGGTGAGGATGTTGTGGTCCTGGAGGTAGGAAATAGTGCCTGCACTCTGAAGGAAGGGTGAGGATGTTGTGGTCCTGGAGGTAGGAAATAGTGCCTGCACTCTGAAGGAAGGGTGAGGATGTTGTAGTCCTGGAGGTAGGAAATAGTGCCTGCACTCTGAAGGAAGGGTGAGGATGTTGTAGTCCTGGAGGTAGGAAATAGTGCCTGCACTCTGAAGGAAGGGTGAGGATGTTGTAGTCCTGGAGGTAGGAAATAGTGCCTGCACTCTGAAGGAAGGGTGAGGATGTTGTGGTCCTGGAGGTAGGAAATAGTGCCTGCACTCTGAAGGAAGGGTGAGGATGTTGTAGTCTGGAGGTAGGAAATAGTGCCTGCACTCTGAAGGAAGGGTGAGGATGTTGTGGTCCTGGAGGTAGGAAATAGTGCCTGCACTCTGAAGGAAGGGTGAGGATGTTGTGGTCCTGGAGGTAGGAAATAGTGCCTGCACTCTGAAGGAAGGGTGAGGATGTTGTAGTCCTGGAGGCAGGAAATAGTGCCTGCACTCTGAAGGAAGGGTGAGGATGTTGTAGTCCTGGAGGCAGGAAATAGTGCCTGCACTCTGAAGGAAGGGTGAGGATGTTGTGGTCCTGGAGGTAGGAAATAGTGCCTGCACTCTGAAGGAAGGGTGAGGATGTTGTAGTCCTAGAGACAGGAAATAGTGCCTGCACTCTGAAGGAAGGGTGAGGATGTTGTAGTCCTGGAGGTAGGAAATAGTGCCTGCACTCTGAAGGAAGGGTGAGGATGTTGTAGTCCTAGAGACAGGAAATAGTGCCTGCACTCTGAAGGAAGGGTGAGGATGTTGTGGTCCTGGAGGTAGGAAATAGTGCCTGCACTCTGAAGGAAGGGTGAGGATGTTGTAGTCCTGGAGGCAGGAAATAGTGCCTGCACTCTGAAGGAAGGGTGAGGATGTTGTGGTCCTGGAGGTAGGAAATAGTGCCTGCACTCTGAAGGAAGGGTGAGGATGTTGTAGTCCTGGAGGTAGGAAATAGTGCCTGCACTCTGAAGGAAGGGTGAGGATGTTGTGGTCCTGGAGGCAGGAAATAGTGCCTGCACTCTGAAGGAAGGGTGAGGATGTTGTAGTCCTGGAGGCAGGAAATAGTGCCTGCACTCTGAAGGAAGGGTGAGGATGTTGTAGTCCTGGAGGTAGGAAATAGTGCCTGCACTCTGAAGGAAGGGTGAGGATGTTGTAGTCCTGGAGGTAGGAAATAGTGCCTGCACTCTGAAGGAAGGGTGAGGATGTTGTGGTCCTGGAGGTAGGAAATAGTGCCTGCACTCTGAAGGAAGGGTGAGGATGTTGTAGTCCTGGAGGCAGGAAATAGTGCCTGCACTCTGAAGGAAGGGTGAGGATGTTGTAGTCCTGGATGGTAGGAAATAGTGCCTGCACTCTGAAGGAAGGGTGAGGATGTTGTAGTCCTGGAGGTAGGAAATAGTGCCTGCACTCTGAAGGAAGGGTGAGGATGTTGTAGTCCTGGAGGCAGGAAATAGTGCCTGCACTCTGAAGGAAGGGTGAGGATGTTGTGGTCCTGGAGGCAGGAAATAGTGCCTGCACTCTGAAGGAAGGGTGAGGATGTTGTGGTCCTGGAGGCAGGAAAATAGTGCCTGCACTCTGAAGGAAGGGTGAGGATGTTGTGGTCCTGGAGGCAGGAAATAGTGCCTGCACTCTGAAGGAAGGGTGAGGATGTTGTGGTCCTGGAGGTAGGAAATAGTGCCTGCACTCTGAAGGAAGGGTGAGGATGTTGTAGTCCTGGAGGTAGGAAATAGTGCCTGCACTCTGAAGGAAGGGTGAGGATGTTGTAGTCCTAGAGACAGGAAATAGTGCCTGCACTCTGAAGGAAGGGTGAGGATGTTGTGGTCCTGGAGGTAGGAAATAGTGCCTGCACTCTGAAGGAAGGGTGAGGATGTTGTAGTCCTGGAGGTAGGAAATAGTGCCTGCACTCTGAAGGAAGGGTGAGGATGTTGTGGTCCTGGAGGTAGGAAATAGTGCCTGCACTCTGAAGGAAGGGTGAGGATGTTGTAGTCCTAGAGACAGGAAATAGTGCCTGCACTCTGAAGGAAGGGTGAGGATGTTGTAGTCCTGGAGGCAGGAAATAGTGCCTGCACTCTGAAGGAAGGGTGAGGATGTTGTAGTCCTGGAGGTAGGAAATAGTGCCTGCACTCTGAAGGAAGGGTGAGGATGTTGTAGTCCTAGAGACAGGAAATAGTGCCTGCACTCTGAAGGAGTAGTGGACATGTTGCAGCTCAGAGTGTCATTAGAGTTGTGTGTGGACTTAGAGCCTCGTCCCTCAGACGTAAGACGTTAACCATGATCTTGGGTCCCACAGGAGAGCGAGAGGGAGCTGAAAGAACAGCACAAAGTCAACCTGATGAACATAGACGACCTGACCAACAAGCTGAAGGAATACGAAAAGTTGCTTCGATCCTACAAGGTAAACCTCCTTCAGGAGTTTAAAAAAGGAACTTCCTAGGCGACGAGTTCAGTTGTTTTAGCAGCATTACTAACCAGAGGTTCGAGCCTACAACGCGAACCTTAACCTGGGCATAATTTTTGTGATGCTTTTAGCGAGATTAAACTAAGATACATGGGTTGTTACATTATTATTATTATTATTATTATTATTATTATTATTATTATTATTATTATTATTATTATTATTATTATTATTATTGCTATTATTATTGTTATTATTATTATCATCATGATGTTCACAGGTGAAGGAGATTGAACTTCTTGAACAGGACGATGTTCACAGAACCAACATCGCTGAGATGAACAAGAAGCTGAGAGAACAAGAACAGACCATCCGCTTGTACCAGGTGAGATCTGATCCGAGGAAGTGGAGCAGCTTCCTCCATCCCCCTCTCCTTGGATCAAACCCCCCTCCTAAGTGTTTGCATTTAATTTTAGAGTGATTCTGTAAGTACCCTGATACTCTAGCTCTGTGTAGAGCTTGGCTCACACGCGAAAGCGCCTGGGTTCGATACCCAGGCGGGTTGAGACGTGTGGGTAAGCCTCCTACTGCCCCTGTTCACCTAGCAGGACGTGGGTACTTAGGTGTTTAGACGACATACCTGGAGGGTGTTCCAGGGGTCAACGCCCCCGCGGCCAGGTCCATGACCAGGCTGTTGCTGTTGGCCTCACTTAAACCGACGTACGAACCACATCCTAGCTGGTCAGGTACTGACTTTCGGTGCCTGTCCAGCGCCTTCTTGAAGACAGTCAGGGGTCTATTGGTAATCCCCCTTGTTGATGCTGGGAGGCATTTGAACAGTCTTGGCCCCCTGAGACTTACGGTGTTGGCTCTTAGCGTACTTATGGTGCCACTGCTTATCATTAGGGGGATGTTGCACCACCTGGGATTATAAGTGAACTGAGGAAGTATAACAGCTCTTGAACTGAGGAAGCAAGGTATAATATCACCAAATATATCATTAGAATACTACCCACAGTATTCTACTGACTTCCACTCACATACTTACTGCTAGGTGAACAGGGACAGCAGGTGTATAGAGACTAACAGTGTACCTACTTACTGCTAGGTGAACAGGGACAGCAGGTGTATAGAGGCTAACAGTGTACCTACTTACTGCTAGGTGAACAGGGAGAGCAGGTGTACGTAGACTAACAACATGGTACCTACTTACTGCTGGGTGAACAGGGACAGCAGGTGTACGTAGACTAACAGGGTACCTACTTAATACTAGGTGAACAGAGACAGCAGTGTACGTAGACTAACAACAGGGTACCTACTTACTGCTAGGTGAATTGGGACAGCAGGTGTACGGAGACTAACAACAGAGTACCTACTTCTGCTAGGTGAACAGGGATAGCAGGTGTACGTAGGCTAACAACAGGGTACCTACTTACTACTAGGTGAACAGGGACACTATGTGTACAGAGACTAGCAACAAGGCACCTACTTACTATTAGGTGAACAGGGACAGCAGGTGTACGTAGACTAACAACAGGGTACCTACTTACTGCTAGGTGAACAGGGACACCATGTGTACAGAGACCAGCTAGGTGAACAGGGACAGCAGGCGTATAGTGACTAACAACAGGGTACCTACTTCATGCTATGTGAACAGGGACAGCAGGTGTATAGTGACTAACAGCAGGGTACCCACTTACTCCTAGGTGAAAAGGGGCAGGTAGCAGGTGTACATAAGCTTGCCCTTTCGTCTCGTCCCGCCGGGATACCGAACCCAGGTCCTTTCCGTTGCGAGATGAACAGTGTTCGATCCCATACGTATGTATAGAGATTTGCTCACTGTCTCTCTCTTCTGTGACGCGACAGACGCAGCTTCAAGAAGCGTCACGGAGACCACAGGAAGCAAGGGAGGAGGAGACCAGTGTCCAGCAGGTGGTCTCCAGACCACAGGAGACCTCAGCCGTCCAGAGGGACCATTCTGGGCCACACTGGAGGTCAGGGGTCAGTCTGAGGGTGAGTTGACGACCTTCATGTTGTCAGTGACCCTGTCAGTGAGATCAGTGACACTCAGTGAGATCAGTGACCCTGTCAGTGAGATCAGTGACCCTGTCAGTGAGATCAGTGACCCTGTCACAAGTGTGATCAAAGAGTTGATTATTATTATTATTATTATTATTATTATTATTATTATACTTCGGAAACACTAAACTCATATGGGTAGCACGACTTCCTCGGATCACGAGCCCTTCCCCCCGATGAGCCAGTGTGTGTGTGTGTGTGTGTGTGTGTGTGTGTGTGTGTGTGTGTGTGTATGTGTGTGTGTGTGTGCGTGTGTGTAGTTACTAGTTGTCAAAGGTCGTTAGACACTTGGCCTGTTTTCTGTGTGTATGTATGGGGTCGAGACTCAGCTCTTGGCCCTCCTATTTAAACCTCCGCTTCTGATCGGTAAATCTGATATCCGGTCACTGTTGCAGGTGGCGTCACCATCAGGTCTGCCCAACCTTGGCAACACTTGCTACATCAATGTTATTGTTCAGTGTCTCTTCAACATCAACAGCCTCAGAGATTACTGCATAAGAGACTCATACAGGTGAGTTACAGTCCTGGACTCATACAGGCGAGCTACAGTCCTGGACTCATACAGGTGAGTTACAGTCCTGGATTCATACAGGTGAGTTACAGTCCTGGACTCATACAGGTGAGCTACAGTCCTGGACTCATACAGGAGAGTTACAGTCCTGGACTCATACAGGTGAGCTACAGTCCTGGACTCACACAGGTGAGTTACAGTCCTGGACTCATACAGGTGAGTTACAGAACACAGAGAGTAGTAGTCAACAGAGTAAAGTCCGAGGCAGGCACGGTGAAAAGCTCTGTTCCACAAGGCACAGTACTCGCTCCCATCTTGTTCCTCATCCTCATATCTGACATAGACAAGGATGTCAGCCACAGCACCGTGTCTTCCTTTGCAGATGACACCCGAATCTGCATGACAGTGTCTTCCATTGCAGACACTGCAAGGCTCCAGGCGGACATCAACCAAATCTTTCAGTGGGCTGCAGAAAACAATATGAAGTTCAACGATGAGAAATTTCAATTACTCAGATATGGTAAACACGAGGAGATTAAATCTTCATCAGAGTACAAAACAAATTCTGGCCACAAAATAGAGCGAAACACCAACGTCAAAGACCTGGGAGTGATCATGTCGGAGGATCTCACCTTCAAGGACCATAACATTGTATCAATCGCATCTGCTAGAAAAAGACAGGATGGATAATGAGAACCTTCAAAACTAGGGAGGCCAAGCCCATGATGACACTCTTCAGGTCACTTGTTCTATCTAGGCTGGAATATTGTTGCACACTAACAGCACCTTTCAAGGCAGGTGAAATTGTTGACCTACAAAATGTACAGAGAACCTTCACGGCGCGCATAACGGAGATAAAACACCTCAATTACTGGGAGCGCTTGAGGTTCCTAAACCTGTATTCCCTGGAACGCAGGCGGGAGAGATACATGATTATATACACCTGGAAAATCCTAGAGGGACTAGTACCGAACTTGCACACGAAAATCACTCACTACGAAAGCAAAAGACTTGGCAGACGATGCAACATCCCCCAATGAAAAACAGGGGTGTCACTAGCACGTTAAGAGACCATACAATAAGTGTCAGGGGCCCGAGACTGTTCAACTGCCTCCCAGCATACATAAGGGGGATTACCAACAGACCTCTGGCAGTCTTCAAGCTGGCACTGGACAAGAACCTAAAGTCGGTACCTGACCAGCCGGGCTGTGGCTCGTACGTTGGTTTGCGTGCAGCCAGCAGTAACAGCCTGATTGATCAGGCTCAGATCCACCAGGAGGCCTGGTCACAGACCGGGCCGCGGGGGCGTTGATCCCCGGAACTCTCTCCAGGTAAACTCCAGGTAAACAGTCCTGGACTCATACAGGTGAGTTACAGTTCTGGACTTATACAGGTGAACTACAGTCCTGGACTCACACAGGTGATCTACAGTCCTGGACTCATACAGGTGAGTTACAGTCCTGAACTCATACAGGTGAGCTACAGTCCTGGACTCATACAGGTGAACTACAATTATGGACTCACACAGGTGAGTTACAGTCCTGGACTCATACAGGTGAGCTACAGTCCTGGACTCATACAGGTGAGTTACAGTCCTGGACTCATACAGGTGAGTTACAGTCCTGGACTCATACAGGTGAGTTACAGTCCTGCACTCATACAGGTGAGTTACAGTCCTGGACTCATACAGGTGAGTTACAGTCTTGGACTCATACAGGTGAGTTACAGTCCTGGACTCATACAGGTGAGTTACAGTCCTGGACTCATACAGGTGAGTTACAGTCCTGGACTCATACAGGTGAGTTACAGTCCTGAACTCATACAGGTGAGCTACAGTCCTGGACTCATACAGGTGAGTTACAGTCCTGGACTCATACAGGTAAGCTACAGCCCTGGACTCATACAGGTGAGTTACAGTCCTGGACTCATACAGGTGAACTACAGTCCTGGACTCATACAGGCGAGCTACAGTCCTAGACTCATACAGGTGAGTTACAGTCCTGGACTCATACAGGTGAGTTACAGTCCTGGACTCATACAGGTGAGTTACAGTCCTGGACTCATACAGGTGAGTTACAGTCCTGGATTCATACAGGTGAGTTACAGTCCTGGACTCATACAGGCGAACTACAGTCCTGGACTCATACAGGCGAACTACAGTTCTGGACTCATACAGGCGAACTACAGTCCTGGACTCATACAGGTGAACTACAGTCCTGGACTCATACAGGTGAGCTACAGTCCTGGACTCATACAGGTGAACTACAGTCCTGGACTCATACAGGTGAGCTACAGCCCTGGACTCATACAGGTGAGTTACAGTCCTGGACTCATACAGGTGAGCTACAGTCCTGGACTCATACAGGTGAACTACAGTAGTGGACTCGTACAGGTGAGCTACAGTCCTGGACTCATACAGGCGAGCTACAGTCCTGGACTCATACAGGTGAGCTACAGCCCTGGACTCATACAGGTGAGTACATCCTGGACTCATACAGGTGAGCTTACAGTCCTGGACTCATACAGGTGATTACAGTAGTGGACTCGTACAGGTGAGCTACAGTCCATGGACTCATACAGGATGAGCTAAGTCCTGGACTCATACAGGTGAGTTACAGTCCTGGACTCATACAGGTGAATTACAGTCCTGGACTCATACAGGTGAGCTACAGTCCTGGATTCATAAAGGTGACCTACAGTCCTGGACTCACAGGTGAGCTACAGTCCTGGACTCATACAGGTGAGCTACAGTCCTGGACTCATACAGGTGAACTACAGTCCTGGACTCATACAGGTGAGCTACAGTCCTGGACTCATACAGGTGAACTACAGTCCTGGACTCATACAGGTGAACTACAGTCCTGGACTCATACAGGTGAACTACAATCCGGACTCATACAGGGTTTCAGTCTGGATCATACAGGTGAGTTACAGTCCTGGACTCATACAGGGGCTACAGTAATGGATCATAAGGTGAGCTACAGTCCTGGACTCATACAGGTGAACTACAGTCCTGGACTCATACAGGTGAACTACAGTCCTGGACTCATACAGGTGAACTACAGTCCTGGACTCATACAGGTGAACTACAGTCCTGGACTCATACAGGTGAACTACAATCCTGGACTCATACAGGTGAGTTACAGTCCTGGACTCATACAGGTGAGTTACAGTCCTGTACTCTACAGTAGTGGTACAGCCGGATCATACAGGTGAGCTACAGTCCTGGACTCATACAGGTGAACTAAGTCCTGGACTCATACAGGTGAGTTACAGCCCTGGACTATACAGGTGATTACAGTCCTGGACTCATACAGGTGAGCTACAGTCCTGGACTCATACAGGTGAACTACAGTAGTGGACTCGTACAGGTGAGCTACAGTCCTGGACTCATACAGGCGAGCTACAGTCCTGGACTCATACAGGTGAGCTACAGCCCTGGACTCATACAGGTGAGTTACAGTCCTGGACTCATACAGGTGAGCTACAGTCCTAGACTCATACAGGTGAACTACAGTAGTGGACCCGTACAGGTGAGCTACAGTCCTGGACTCATACAGGTGAGCTAGAGTCCTGGACTCATACAGGTGAGTTACAGTCCTGGACTCATACAGGTGAACTACAGTCCTGGACTCATACAGGTGAGCTACAGTCCTGGATTCATAAAGGTGATCTACAGTCCTGGACTCACAGGTGAGCTACAGTCCTGGACTCATACAGGTGAGCTAGAGTCCTGGACTCATACAGGTGAACTACAGTCCTGGACTCATACAGGTGAACTACAGTCCTGGACTCATACAGGTGAGCTACAGTCCTGGACTCATACAGGTGAACTACAGTCCTGGACTCATACAGGTGAGCTACAGTCCTGGACTCATACAGGTGAGCTACAGTCTTGGACTCATACAAGTGAACTACAGTCCTGGACTCATACAGGTGAACTACAGTCCTGGACTCATACAGGTGAACTACAGTCCTGGACTCATACAGGTGAGTTACAGTCCTGTACTCTACAGGTGTTACAGCTGGATCTACAGGGAACACGTCTGACTATACAGGTGAAGCTACATCTTGGACTCATCAAGTGAACTACAGTCCTGGACTATACAGTTGAGCTTCTGGACTCACAGGATGAGTACAGTCTTGGACTCATACAAGTGAACTACAGTCCTGGACTCATGCAGGTGAACTACAGTCCTGGACTCATACAGGTGAACTACAGTCCTGGACTCATACAGGTGAGGTGATATTTAATTACAGAACATCTGTCAGGACAGACCCTGGAATATGTAAATAAAGCTCCATACATTCCTTTATTACCCACAATGATCGTCCCACACACACTGGACATCTCTTTTACCCACACTGATCGTCCCACACACACTTGATATCTCTTTTTCCCACAATGATCGTCCCACACACACTGGACATCTCTATTACCCACGGTGATCGTCCCACACACACTGGACATCTCTTTTACCCACAATGATCGTCCCACACACACTGTACATCTGTGTTACCCACAATGATAGTCCCACATACACTGGACATCTCTGTTCCTCACATTGATCGTCCCACAGACACTGGACATCTCTATTACCCACAGTGATCGTCCCACACACACTGGACATCTCTATTACCCACAGTGATCGTCCCACACACACTGGACATCTCTATTACCCACAGTGATCGTCCCACACACACTGGACATCTCTGTTACCCACAGCGATCGCCCCACACACACTGGACATCTCTTTTACCCACAGTGATCGTCCCACACACACTGGACATCTCTGTTACCCACAATGATCGTCCAACACACACTGGACATATCTTTTACCCACAGTGATCGTCCCACACACACTGGACATCTCTGTTACCCACAATGATCGTCCCACACACACTGCAGATCTCTGTTACCCACAATGATCGTACCACACACACTGGACATCTTTGTTACCCACAGTGATCGTCCCACACACACTGGACATCTCTTTTAC